CTTTAATTTAAAGTAGCCTTCTATCTATTAATAAATCTAGACTAGTAGAAGAAAATATCTAATAAATTAGTATCTCTATATATAATATATCTATTAGAAGGCTAGCTAATAGTAGCGACTATATTACTATATATTTCTTTTAAACTAATTCCTCGTCCACTTTCTCTAATTAAGCCTCTAGCTAACATAATATTCAAGAACAGATTATGCTAGAAACACCCGACGACGATAATATCCACCAGCGTTATTGAGGGTGCGCGCTCCTGTCCCATTCGATCTTCTCCTCTCCTCGAAGCTATCCATACTCGCACGGCGTCCTGTAACTCGAAACCAATTTCACATCGCCTCCAGCAAGAATAATGTCCGGCTTCCTCACTGGCCATTTTGAAGAGCAAACTTGTTGAAGGATTACCCGGCAGCCATGAGTCGACATCCCGCTCGATCAAAGCAAGTGGATATACTCTGACTACAACGATTTCCCCCAGTATCTGAGCGCATAACAAATTCACTACGTTAAATACCATTGGTTGGCCATCTCGATATTCTCCTTCAACGGTATAGAGTATAGGAACTAGAGCACTTCTACCATTAACTGTGGAGGGATATGTACCGCTTTGCTCTTTCCAGGAAAGCAGCTGAAGAAGCAGAGGTCCAAGCTGTATCTACTTTGTACCAGGCGGCACTTGAAAGTAGGTTTAGAAGGATGATGCTGGGCCTGCGCAAAGCTTTGGGTGACAGTCTATGGTATAACTTAATTAAGGTGTAAATTAAGGCTGCGATTTGTTCTACGGGATATTCAGTTTCAGAGTTCGCTTACTATTACATTGGAAATACCTTCACCCCTCTACTCACACGTTATGGTGTAGCGTGTAGAGCGTATATGCCGTATGAGTAGAGCGAATCATTGATTCGAATTGACAACTGTAACTGGCGAATCTCCTAAGTGGCTTGGAACAGCAATAGCCGATCAAGAACAAGCAAAACAAAGGGCTTTTGAAGGCGATATGGATTACAAAGAACATGTTTCTCATATTCATATTTAGCGGTTTCCGTCCCGTAAGGATTGAAGAAGAAGAGATTATAGCAGCTAGCTTTTGAAACCAAAATGTAATTGCCATCTTGGTGTAGACAAGGCTATATCCGCTTTCAACCATCAGTTGGCTACTTACTATGAGTGACATCTATTGTTAGAGTGACCAATTTTACTGAAGATTCGTCTCATATTTGGATGGCCTAGTAATGTGTAATTCTCTATGTTGCGACAGTGCGGGCTCCTAGGCCAGCACAAGGCTTCATGATATCCAGGCTTTTTTTTCGCTTCTCGAACTCAAAGTTTCAGACACGCCTTTTATCGCAAACTTCCAACGCGCCATAGCTTCTATAGAGCTACGAGAGCTTCCACAATTACATACACATCTTTTCGCTCTAGCGTCTCGAATCGTTTCTTTTCATCGACACTTACCCTGCAGGAACACAGGCTTATAACCCTCCGCCACTCTTCTTGCGGTTACAAGTGTCCTGTTCCCTTTCTTCCAAAACCTACCAACCCAGCTTTCTTCTACGATAGACGGTCATTGAGGCGCGCACTCTCGACCTTCTGCGAACTTTCTTAATATTATCACCACAATCTACCTTTCAGCTTCTCGATTCAAATTATATCACAATACAGGCCCAACCGAGCTCCGCCTGGCTGGATTTCACCTCCCTTATTCCCCAATGTCAACTCGGGATGATCGTCCATACCAACACGAACAAATATCGAACTGGCGCTTTCGCGTACTGTCATACCTGCCAAGATCCTCCCGAACTACTGGCACAGCTTCCTTCATCTTTTACTTCTTCGATAACCTAGCTCTTGCCGCACACCCTTTTGCTTTAGCTTCTGCTACTTTAAAGCAGTACCTACACACCAAATCACCCTCTCCCCTGCAGCTTATCGATGGCCCCTCGGCTGGCCGGCGCCCCCTTCAAATCAAGATACTTGGCCCTCAATTCTCGAAGATCGTCTATACCTAGAAGCATATAAGGAGCATACCACCCAGAGTATGGGGTGTAGGTGCTAGCCAAATGGCAATGTAGTAGACAGAGTGTACGGGGAGCGGAGCGGTAGGCCGTGTGAGGAGTACAGAAATGCGTGGGTTGACGCCTGCTATCTAGGGCAGTATGGCACACCTTTCAAGTGTCCGTTGGTTGGAAATGGTCTCATATACATAATAAGATTACTATAGATCATGCTTCTTGCAGGGCGACTGGTATACCATTCCCGCAATGTGGCATACATTTGCGTAAGACCAATTAAAGGAGGGCTCGACAACAGACATATTGTCTCTTCTGCGACGCTTGGATAAAGTTCAATTGAGTGGGATTACCAGAACTGCGATGTGTGCTCTGCTACTGCTATATCTTCTGTTCCCAGAGAACGCGCTCACACACTACAAGGTTCCCACAGCTCTGTCATCTGACTTTAATTATATTCTCTATAGAGGCAAGATTACTTGGTCGCACAGATCTGATTGAAATACGATATCTTGTGTAAAGCCGTCACAACGTCTATGAAGCAAGATTACGCTGAGTTGCGTTGCAATCACTTAGGCTAAGCTGCCACGACCGAGGTGCTATATCTCCTGCCACTTTGAACCCGCTACATTCAAGTAAGATCTCATGGGCTACAACGATAGCGACGACATCCGTGTAATCTACCAATAACGTCAACGCTTGCCGCTCGCTGGAACACCTGAGCTGCTTTATCTAGTCCTACTGTATCCACCCCTCTGCAATCATGATACCATTGCGGAAAGATAAGAGTCTGGATTGCGATGTTTGTTCCATATAAAGAGATCCTGGACTGAGCCTTCTATTGCAAAACTACACTTACATCTACAAACCTAGCACGCGCTCACTTGCGCAAAACTGGGCGAAGTGAGCTTTCTACGAGAGAACCAGTGTATCTACCACGATTGACAGACAAATCCACAACCCTCGCATGCTAATAACAAGCGCAAACCATATTGCATTATTAAAACGCTGGTGTATTGCCTCGACGCTGGAGACTAGAGGTGACAGGCGCCTTCTGGAGCTATTTTGCCAACCACTTGCGCTTTTGCTCTTTATTTTGTCGGCTCAAACACTACCACTGATTCTACTGCTCTGCAGTAAGCTGCATGGTCACAGGCTCTAAACATATCCTGCACTCGAGGCTTCCACTGTAGTCCCACTATTCAAACGAAGCTGGAGAGACTATCCTAAACGGAGGAAAAGGCCACAGTCACATTGCGAATTACCCACAACAGGGGACTTAAACTAGATATACACTATGGTTTCTGACTGTTTGTACTTTTGAGGGTAATTCCGTAGCTTAGGACGTTACTGTACACCCTGGCATGGCTCAGGAGCACCTGGAAGTAATGAATTTCATCATCATCATCATTGCATACGATTTTGGCAGCGTTGGAGCACTATACAGGATACGCAAGCTTATGATCATTGTATATATACAACATGCTTCAGTGGTAGCACGGAGAAGTTATTCTGATGGCGGTAAACTACGATAAGCATTGTTGTCGGCTCGTGACTAGGTCATCCAAATCAAGCATTGCGCCTGCGCCACCAATCAGACGAGGTTCAAAACTAGCTTACGAGCTTTCGATGTGAATCATTATGTAGAAAGCAAAAGACAATCACAATACGTTGCTCCAGGCAACAATTACGGAAAGGTGTCGTTCCGGCGTGCGGGGGGGAATCTACCCCCAGCCACTCGTTGAGGCATATGGCAGGAAGCTATTGACGCGAGATGCAATTGAAGGTGAGCGTTCAACAATCAGCCCACCAAAACAGCACGATTTTGAAGTGTTGAGCTCGAATCTACAGCTCGTTCTCTTACAATTGGCAAGTTTGGGCTCAAAAGTTGAAATTATCCGCAATGAACTGGATTCTACTGGGGCACCGGAGAACTTCCTAGAATAAAGATCCATTACAGATACTATCAGCCATTTTAAAACCTCGTAACAGCGTAGAGAAAGCCAGATTTGGACTGTCGTTGGGTGGCTGGGATCCAAATCGGGATGTCAACCTTTGTTAAGCGAGGAAAACCGAATTCCGGTACTAGACCCCCTTTTCACTTTCCCAGCGTTTCTACAATCGTAGGAGCATTGTTGACACGTTGTAGTATTGTGAGGTGTAATACAATATAACGGGATAGTATCAGAGCTAGTTACAATACTCCAGCATGATTTCTCAGCAGAAACATTGAAGCACTGCTTCCCTATATAAAGATAATGCCAACTCCTGAACTGTATTTGAAGAACAATTGCGACCGGAAAGTGCGTCATGTCGATAGACAATGGCCTCGTGATATTCAGGCTGTCAATAAAGAGCGGGGCTAGCAGAAGGTCGCTAGCGCGATCTGAATAAACAACTGAGCCCTCCCTCCTTAGCGCAATTTATATAACTTGATCCCCAAGCCAACCAGTCTTTCTCTCAAATCCAACCATCCATTCACGAGTCGTATTCGTGAACTTTCCCAGAAGTATTCGCACCCCAATTCACAACTCCGCTGTCAAATAACTGAGAGACCTGTCTAGACAGTCCAGATAGAAACAGGTGAGCTACCACACTGTGCGGCGCTGGCTGAACGCTCCGCATCCAGATCAAGTTTGAAATAATGCTCACATCAACAGATATACTTGTAGTCTCTGCGGCTGGTTCTGCAAACCATAGGATACAGAGGATTCGCGCAGTGCCGGGCGGGCTTCGACTAGGATCCAGTTTGGTAAGTTGGCCTCCGCAACTTGGTCGCTTTGCGCAGCAGCATTGCTACAGTACCCTCGATCAGATCGGCTTTGATATCATGCTTACCTTCTTAGAGCAACACTCTCTAATTACGCGTTGGTGCCTCGCGGCTCAACTACCGTTCTGCGGTTCCCCCCATTGTAAGTATCTTGACCTCCGCCACTTGATCGCTCAGTATTGTGCTTGTCAACCCTCCTCTCCATAGATCCATCATGATCGAATTCCCGTGTCCAATAGATCTCTCTACCTTAGGGGGTGGTGATCGATTCAACGGCTCGACCTCTATCGACGTCGAGCCGTGCAACGGCGTGAAGCAGTCCATTGGACTCCGCAACTTGGCCGCTCTATTGCTAACTATTGCCAGATACTTGCAGATTACTGTACCACCTTTAGCCGTATTTCTGAAGTCCTGTACCTCCCAGAAGAGTGAGCCTGGGCAACGTCGTGGTGTCGAACAGGTAAAGTGACTTCCGCAGCTTTTTCATCCTCTGGCTAATGGCTACGGAAGTTTACTGCTAGGACATACACATATTTGAAATGGACGGCCGTGAAGGACGAAGAAGGCCTGGGGTGGGCTGGCAGTCACCTCCCCTTAACTTCCAATCCGACGCAGACTTCGGTCTGGGAGAGCCCACGGGACACGAAATGTTGAACAATTTTCAACAAGAACTCCACACCAATGCCCTATTCGATCAGAGTGTTGGTAAGTACATGGTCTGTCCCATTGTAAAGAACCCATTTGACTGATGATATTCTAGGAAATGCCGGTTTCAATACGGATCCAAATCGCCAGTGGGCCCACCAAGCTCACATGTTTTCATATCCTCGAAATCCAACGCTTATCCCAAGTTATCTGAGCCAGCCTCCCCAGGGTTTCTACGAAAACGAACCGTTTATGCACAATCCAAACATGAATGGGGCCTTTTCTACAAGTGTTGCAAATGATGCCACAGAGTTCCTGTCCTCCAGAGATGAGCCATACGGCTACAACAATGCCACGGTCTACCAAAACGGGGGTTCTGCATACGCAGAACCTCCTAATACCTTCGTAGCTCGTCAAAATCCTTCTTCCTTCCTGTCTAGCTACCAGAGCAGGCATCGCCAAGAAACATTTGCCGACAGTTCTTTGACCGCAGAGAATGAAGAATTTGGAGAATCTAGTCGGCTGTCTGAAGAAGAAGAAGAAGAAGACCTTGACGATGACTCTACCACTCGCCTGAAGAGTCCGGTCATGTCTACGCCAGCCAAGAAGAAGCCTGCGAAGGAGGAGCCTGCAAAGGAGAGAAAGGGGCTACAACCTTTCGCTGTCACCGAGGCTGAGCTTGTAGTTATCAGAGATGGCTATGAGCCGCATACTGCTACTGGGCAGCACAAAAGAAAACGCAGGGTCTGTCTGACTCTCTCTGAATATACTGCACTTATGCAGCTTCGCAAGAAGCCGTTCTCGCAGGATGAGTGGAACAGGCACGATACTTTCCCAAGCGGGCCAAAGCGGTCATACCGCAGAAGAAACAGAGTCAGAGTCAGCCCCTCGACTCCATATCAATTTGCTCGCACTGAGAGAGCTAGCACTGTCGCAAAAAAAGAAGATGCGCTTCTCAAGAAGAGTCCCAGACCACATAGAGCGGCTACCAAAGAACGCCGTGAGCATGGCTATGGAGACATCTTTGAGGACGAGGTTGAGCCAAAGAAGTCTGGTAATGGAAGCAATGCCGGTATGGACTACTCAGATGACGATTCGGATTTCAGCGACTTCCAAATCAAAACACCAGAGTCTGAGACGCCTCCCATGACAACTAGCTATTCTCCAGTCAAGAATGGCTTGTTCACGACCTTCCATACCAACCTCCCACCGACCTCATCGCAGCCACCGATTCCTATTGTACCTCGCGGAACAAAGGTTAAGCAAGGCAAACACAGATTCGACCACGGCCAGATCCAAGAACACCTCACCAGAGATGAGCTTAGGCAGATCCGCCCCGGCTATGGGGTCATACCTGCTCTTCATGTGAAGGCATTTGACCGACCACAAAATCCGAGCCTAGCCAGCTGTTTGGGCCCAAGAGGACCAAATCCCGAGATGCGAAGAATCCGCATCACAGTGGATGAATGGACCAAGCTCTGGGAGTTGCGCGGCGAGTTCAGAAACTATGAAAAATACTATAAGGGCCGCATCCCGTACGAGGAGAGAATGCGTGGCAATGCCAATCTGGAGAGATCTTTGGCGCGAAAGAGACAGGGCATCACGTACCGTGCCAAGCGGGATGGTCAACAGCTCATGCCAGGCATGAAGAAGCTCCGAGATGCCGCTGAGAAGTCAGCCAAAGTCAAGGACGAGGAGGGTACTGAGACGGCGGTCAAAGACTCGGATGCAAGCCAACAGGAGGAACCTGCCGAGAGCAGTGATGCGAAAGTCAAAGAAGATGAGACGTACGATCAAGAGCAAGACGCGCACTACGACATCTTCGATGATATCTACGATGCTGATTGATTCCTGAAATCCACAGAACAGAGCTTTGGAAGACTCTCCTTCTTCTTCCTCCGACATTACATACTTGTACATCTGCACTGGCGCAACTGGCGTTTACACATACGGATGATACCACAATAGCTTTGATTCCCCTTTCAAATATTTCGAATTTCCTTTTGAATTTCCTTTGCGAATGATCTTCTAGGATCACCATCTTGTTTTTCTCTCGAACATTACGACAAAAAAAAGCGCTTGCATACTTAGAGGACACACGGAGTTTGTGCTGGATTCTGCTGGGCGACTGGCATCCAACACGGCGGGGATTTGCTTTGGTATTGAACTAGCATACTTACAGGACACATGGAGTTGGTGATGGCTTGCTGGGCAACTGGTATCCAACACGGAGGGCTTTTGATTTGGCGCTCGCATCGTCAGAGGAAGCGTGGAGTTGTGACGGCTTGCCATCCAACACGGCGGAGATTGACTTTGATCTGGCGTTTGCATATTTTACAGGACTAAAACGGTGTTTGTGGCGGCTCTGCTGGGCGACTTGCATCCACACTGGTGGAGATGATTTGATTTTGAGATTGTTTCCTGGACCTTTGTTTCGGACGATCTGGATTTGTGCTGGTATTACTGGTTTTCCGGCATACATTGGTCACATTGCGCGTTTATTTGAAATGGACTTCATATTCTACAACAGTTTGGGCAGTTTCAGTCTTCTGGATAGCTCGAGTTGGGATTTGATTTCTATGAAAAGAACATGGACGAGGGCTTGTCTCGATCCTTGAGTTGGATACTATTACTTGCTAGTCTAGTAAACAGATTCGATTCCCCATAACAGTGACATGACTTATGATATTGGTGACAGTGATGCAGTGATATGATACCTGATCCTCCGAAAAGATTCGATTTGCAACCATACTCAGCTGCTTTCTGATCACGATGTAATATTTAGCAATACTGCTGCATGAGCTTAAATTGCTGCTTCAGTTATACTACATCCTCCTGGATGTATCATACCCAGCTTCCAGTGTACAAAACTTAACCTCTCCCAAGACGACAATCGCTCAAAGACGATTCTAAGGACTTCACAGGCCCCAACGTGTCTTGTAACCTTTGTTTTCCAATCAATGAACTGGTGGTTTACCGCCTTGATATCTAACTATAGATCACAAGTTGGGCATTTAAACTGGATAGCAACAGTATATGTCTTGTCTCTGTGGATGGAGTTGCGGTTGTTTGAGAAGCGTGTAGAGGCAGGAAAGCGAGTTGATGACCATAGACCGCAGAAGCTAACAGACAATCTGCTATGACATCTTCAGAAAGAATGCCGGATACCGTAGTAGTGCTATGAGATATAATTGTAGATGCTCAAGAATCGAGCAATATATTGGGTTGAACTGTTGCCAATATGGCGGGAACCGGTAGAAGACTTAACAAGCGGGCAAAGAATACACAGCTGACTTCCTGCAGCGTTTAAACCGGCGAACGAGGTCAACAGCTCAAAGACATGTAAGAAGTACCGAGAAACGCTTGTAATTATAGTAGAAGGCACAGCAGCTGCAAAATCGAGGGTAAAGATTCAATGTACTGATAGGTAGCTCAGCTATCAAGATGACTTGTATGGATCCGAGGCCTTATTGAATCTGCCAGCTGAGATAGAATACCTACTCTCACAAGCAATTTGGCACGAAGAACAGACGCAATTAAGATGGACAAATCAATTATTAGAACCTCTTAATGCCATAGCGCCTAGTACAGCAACTTCTAATTCATGCACCTCGTCTTGATTGTTCCCATCTTCATTACCACCATGGATTCCTGCTCCATTGACAGCTCCCTTTGTCTTCTTCGCTCCACCACCACTGTTTAGCTTGTAGATCTTCTTGATCCTTGCCACGTCGGTGAGAGATGCTATGGAAGCATCAGTGAAAGGAAGAGAATCGCCTTCGATGTTGGCGGCGAGATGTGCTTGAATGTCGGGCGAGGAGAGCGGCGAGGCTGTAGAGGTATCTGTTGTCGAACTTGGCGGGAGAGATACTTTGATGACTAGGAGAGAGGTAGTAGCTGGTGTTATGCCAAAGCGACGGAATGACTCTGCAATCTGGGTAATTGTGTCAGCGTGGTTCGTAAATAGATGAATTTGGAAAAGAGCTACAGCGCGGCAGGAAGCTGCTTGGGGTATAACTAAAGTAGGAATTATGAGGAAGTGCTGCTATTTGAGCAAGACGCAAAGCGTGGAATGTAGTCTGAGAATGCGAAGACTTAAGCGTGCAGCTATCGAAAGGATTAAGTTGCTTCCAGAAACGGAAATGACACCAGAGATCCGCAAGAATTTTCATAGAGATGCCAACCGTTATTGAGTATCAAGGTACTTACATTGTTATTCGGACTTAAAGAGAACACAATCTCAGAATGGACATTCCGACTTCTCAACCTGCCCCCCAGCAGGTCGCTCACCGCTCGATAAACGGCGGCTAGAGCATGAACCCGGGACACAAGCTAGCAAATGAAAGTCAGCGAACGGTTTGGAAAAAGCAAAAGAACTGTCTAACATCGTCCAAAGGAAAGCCATTCTGTCACGTGGAAATTGGAAATAAACAAATAAGAGAAAAGCGGGACGGCGAAGGTTGGGAAGGAACAACTAACCACGCTGGCATCGATCAAAGCATACTCAAACTCCGTGTTTCCGGCAAGTAGCTGCTCATGTAGGAAGGCTGAATTCTTCACATTTCGGAAGAGAGCGAGGCTGATGTCGTAGCCGGGAGGGAGGTGTTCGAGCTGGACTGTTTCGAGGAGCGACATGGTGGGGTGTTCTTGGAAATGCTGTTGTCACGTTTGTTTCTTCAGCTGCCTCGTGTCTTGCCGTCAGGTCTCCTGTAATAGCGTTGTATCTCTTTAGTCTGCGGCTCAACAAGTCTCGAATGCTGTGTTGCGAACGTTCAATTTCAGGGTGGATGTGATGGATATCTGCAAGTGATTCCAGCCTTGTTCAGTGGCAGTGGTGGTCGGCAACTTGTCGGCTGATTGGTGTAAGAAGCACCCACAGGGCAGGTGCAGGAGGGGATGCAAACCTTCGGGGTTGGAAGCACTGACAAAGACTCGTGGACTCGACGCTGTCACCCGTGCTAAAGCACCAAGACAAGCCAAATTGAACACAGAACGCCTCGGAACCCTTCCAATCGTTTCATTGAGATGCTGAAGAAATCATAGTTCATGCCAAATTGTTTCACCTGCGAAGAACAAGACGTTTGTTCTCGCTGCTCTCGGTCAGAAGATCTTCGATTGCTGGACGGATTACGAAGTAACGCTGCGAAACATCGTTGGACCATCACCCCTGCCTGCGTACCAAAATAGATGGAGGAGAAGTTCAAAGGGGCGGAAAAAAGCAATCAGGGTCCATTAATGCAGCGATATTACCAAGACGATCCAAGTACTCTGTAGAGTACCAAACTTCTCAGTTGCGAAACCCCTTCCCCCAGAACCCGGAACACTTCAACACTTGGGCCTGATGCCAGCGGGAAATTATGATAGCTTGCTTCGGGGTAGACGATGGTGGCGGATTCAACATTTGAGTTTTCATCTACCGGCACTAGCAACGACAGGACTCCAGACAACATTGGTTAAGCTTAAGTTGATTGCTGGGAGATGTGGAGCATCCCACGCACGAGTCTTTGCTTTGTTTTGACGCGTTGTAAGGAAGAGCACATGGGATGGTAATAATGGGTATTGTCCGGCTGGCTGCTCCTGTCTGACGGCCCATGATCTTCCACATGGGAAAGTCTGGGCAGTGTCGTATCTGTGCGAACCATGCAGCCGGAAAATTGAATGGCTTTCCTCAACCCATAGAGCTGGCTTCATTATTGGAGTCTGCTGTTGTCCTGTCTAAAAGCGTTCCGCCACTCGCTCGACTCGAGTGTAGAGCGAGCGTGTCTCGATAGTTCCTTCCCAATAGGTTTGTTGGTAGCAAGCGGGCAGTGGCTCGAGGGGAAAACTGCCTGTCTATCCCGAGAGAGCCCTGGAAAGTGGCTTTATAGCTGGTCCACTCTTTTCCAATCATTCAAAGTATAGAGACAAGGATGAAAAGGTATGCCAGAGTGCCTGAACTTTAGTAGTGGTGATTTGTGCCGCCGAGCCTCTTCGTTGAGAACCAACGACAGTAACTCGGAGAAGGTGCCTCGCTTTGAGCACATCCTTTCTTAGGAGCCACGGCTCGTGACAAATTTTACAATTATCCAGCCTTTCGAGTTCCGAGGTAGTTTTACATTTCCGCCTCTGCCTCTAGATATTGCGTTGTTAGATGCTTTAGCTTGGGCCGGACAGAGGGTAGTGTCTTCATAGCGTTGGCAGCAACCCCGCCAAAACTATGAGACCATCCTTTCAAGACCCGGGAGTCTCCTCTTCCCAGCAAGATCAACGCATTATTCAACAAAGCTTCCCCTTGCAACAACACAACATCCCATCGCATGGCCATCATCAGCTTCCTACCGTCTATTCTGCATCTTTACCCACTCCCTCCGGGAGTATCGTGCCTCGCAAAGGACAACAACCTCACGCAACCCCCGACCATTCGCGAACCGCGCAAGACGACTATCGACACCAATCAATTGCCCGCAACTACGAATTGGGAGCTTCCTCGGTCGAAAAGGAACCCTCCTTCGTCGCAGAAGAGCTTCGTACACCTCACACGACAACCATAACGTCCGTTCCAATGAGTGGGAAGAAGCGCAGTGCCTCTACAGAGGAGGGTCCTATAATGAAAGGCAAGAAACAATCAAGCGCAGGCCGGTCAAAAAGTCCTGGCAAGTACTCGGAGCAGGTCAAGAAGGGGTTGGCGGCTAGCAGCAGGACAAACCAGGCGTGTGATCGATGCAAGGTCCGTCAGTGCAATACTTCTGTCTTACCATGTACTCCTATGCCACATCTCAGTCTGCTAACACTTCAATTTGCGTAACAGGTCCGGAAAACAAAATGCGATTCGCTTCCTGGAGGATGTTCCGAATGTCTGTCGAAAGGCGAGGAGTGTATTACCACTGACAAAGTCTCCGGCCGTCCAATGCACCGCGGATATGTTGAGGGTCTGGAGCATGAAGTTGCAGTTTTGAAAGCACAGTTGAAAGCGCATGGGATTCGGGAAGATGGTCGGTTGACTTCTGTTGACCAAACCATCAGTCGTCCCACGCCTGATCGCAATGGAACGTCAGACTCCCCTCAAACCTCGAACTCTATCAGTCCTTCGCAGACATTACCACACGAAAGCCCGTCCTGTGAAGTGGAACGCACACCAGACAATTACTTGGGAGTTGCCTTAGCAAGCTCTCGGCTCAGCTCCATCAATGGCACAGCGCTGTCCATTCTGGGTATGAAGATAGACATTGCTGATTTCGAGTCGCTTGACATGGATGAGCCAAGTTCGTCCGGATTCAACCCAAGATTATACAACAAATCATATCAGTCGTTCCTCCAGACAGCTCTCAACGTCAACGAGAACATGGAAGAACCCCCTCTGCCACTTAGAGATGAAGCCTTTATCAGAATCGAATGGTACTTCCGAATGATCAACCCTTACATACCCTTTCTCCACAAACCGACTTTCGTGGCCTTGGTAGGGAAATTCCTGATCATTGATGTAAACTCATACTGATATTTCTAGTTAAACCGTCGGTTTGACGACCCAAACTTCAAACCTCGAGTGGCTGAAAATGTCATGATGCATATGGCATTCGCTATTATGTACTTTCAAGAAGCGTGCCGAAACAGAACGGACGATGGCATCTTTGAGAAGCGACAACAAGATCTATCCAATCAACATTACCATTATTCGCTCAGTCAGTATTACCACCTGTCTTGTAGCCACGGAGTCCAAGATATACAAGCATTGACAATGATCTGTTCTCACCTGAGAAACTTCCCGAAGCCTGGAGCCAGCTGGATTTTAACGCAGCACACCCTCTCACGTGCATTGGAATTCAATTTGCACCGGTCTGCGAAAAGCTGTACATTCGAGGAACCCTTGACGACTTTGGATATCGAGATGAGGAAGCGTATCTTTTGGTCCCTATTGACCATCCACGTTACCCTAAGTGGGAAGCTTGGACGGCCAATGTCGCTCCGCATGGAAGATTATGATATTGAAATCCCCGACCCGATTAGCGACGAACAGCTCATTCAGGACGGTACCAACGGATTGTCGCAGGCAAAATGCCTGCACAAGGTGGGCATCCATGCTTTTCAGATTGTCCCTCTGTATATGGAGCTATACAGTACAATTTACGCCGTTCGTCGTCGACCCGACAAGTACGTCCTCACCGTCAATGCACTAGAGGCAAAAATACAAGCATGGGAAGATGCGCTATCGCCTGAATTAGTCAACGGGAAGGAGCAGGAAGATCGAGTATTTACATTGTACTCGCAGGTCTGGGCAGATGAATTTCGTTTGCTTCTTCGTCATCCGTCAATGTCAATGACCAATGACGAGACCTTCAATGCGGAAAGCCTAAAAACTTGTGCCAAGTCCGCGCGGAAGATGCTGGGAGCCGTGAAGAAATTAAAGAAATACAATTGCCTTGACACGACCTGGTATAACACTGCCGTTTATGTCATGGCTTTAACAACTACTCTTTTCGTTGAATATGAAAGACGAGATACAATCTCTCGTCTGGAGGTCGAATCTCTGAAGGCAGACATGGGGGCTTGGCTGGAGATCTTGGGTAGTGTTGGGCAGCTGCTAGGTATTTCTATCCTTCTTTTGAAGCGGTATGTGACTAACGCAGATTTAGGTTCGGGTTTCCGGCTTCGTGACGCCGTGAGGGAAGTGATAATGGGGCCTTTGACCAAGCTGGACCTGAGTTTAGCAGGCCGGGATGCATCTAGAAACAGGCCGCTGAATGACTTCAATTCTATGCCTGCCCGGTCGGAGTCCACTTCTAGAATCTCCTTGGATAGTGGATCTGTCAATGCCATCAACACCAAGACCATTGACTATTCCCACCAAAGCACCCCTCAATTCGAAACAACCAGCAGCACTTCGGCTGGATATGCGCCGTTGACTGTACCATTACAACAGCACCAAGATCCATATCCGCAATCAACTCAATATCAACCATACACAGAGGCTTCTGGAACCTTGCCACACTCGTCATATCCTCCGCAAAGTAACCACAATTTCATATCTAATACCAAAGTCGAGGATGCCTCTGACTTGGTACGATTCGCTCGCCAGGCCAATCAAGCCGCTGCGCAGACGCCTCTAATGGCCCATGATGCTTTTCAGCGGCGAGATAATATTGCTCACTACGCTGGACCACAAGCATGGAGTGTCTATACTGCGGAAGCTGTCGATAATTTTGGAATGAGCGAGCCGTTCTCTGTCAATAGCCTTGTCCAGCTCGGGCCCAATGACATGAACACTGGTGGGATGGGAATCATCCATCAGAATATGCATACACCAACGTCCGGTCCCATGGATCATGGTCAATTTACTGGAGATCTGTCATCAATTTCATCTTGGCCGCAGGCGGTCTTTAACATGCTCCCAAATCAAAATTAAGTCAACATAACTAACACCATCGGCTACTGGACGTAACTCTGGAGTTGAAAATTTCTACCAACGCATCCATGCTTATTTTCTTATTGGGGGCATTCCACAAGTGCTAATGTTGGTCAAGGTGGACTGGCAGGGAATTAGGCGTTCTGGGGTTTGAAACATACGGCGTTTGTAAATCTGCTGACGGTAAAGTCGGAAGCAGGCTCTTGGAGGCTACAACCTTGTAACAAATTATTGATACCCGCTGTTATATTCTGTTAGAATAGTACGAGTACTACTGTATGTATATAAAAAACTACTGTAGAGTATAGTGTTGCAATTAATAAACAATAATAATACGCAAGGCAATCGTGTCAACCTATGATAATTGAGAAGGTAGATTACGAAACAAATCCTCGAGGCTTCGCACCTTTAATCATTAAGATCTAGTACACGGCGAGGATACAAGGTAGAAAGGGACGAATATAACACTGCTGGAGATCTCCTATGAGAGCGGACTTGGTGTTGTCCACGGATGTATAGAGTATAAGAGCTAGCATTTGACTAAGGAAAATACACGAAAGAAAGCAACAAATCTCCTTTGGCCTCGCGAAGTTTGCAGGCCTATGTGAAGAGTTCTTAAACACTCAGAGGTGATTGCGAAGTTTTCTAGAATGTGTTTCTCTTGAGTCATCGCAGACTTGGAATCATAGTCATTACATTATCGCTTAAGCAAATTTGATCGTGAGTTTACTTCCCAGATTCGTCAAACCATTATAGCAGCAGCCTTTATAAGCAGATTTATCCAGCTAACTTTTTCACAAGAACCAAACAGCAGAAACAGCAACAGCTAATACCCCACTCAACACCCCATTCCACCTATTCGCGCCCGCACCAGAAGCCGGAGGATTCGTCTGACCAGCACCCGCAGTGACGGTCACAGCTCCCCCTCCATTCGCGGCAGCCGTATTCGGCGTCCCAGTGACCGTCGGCGAATTCGGGTTTCCAGTAAGGGGCGCGCGTGTGGTCGGAACGGTCACGGCAGCGAGCACATCACCAGCTGAAGTGCAGAATCCACTGAGCGCGGTAAAAATGGAGTAATCGGTCGGATCTGCAGTTCTGACGTACTCGGCACAGGTTCGCACGCCGTCGTCGAAGTTGTCGGGCGACCAGGTGGAGGAGCTGTAGCAGAGACAGGCGGCCTGCGAGGCGACTCTTGCGTCTGTGAATCCGCGTGTGGCGGAGCTGCAGGAGTCGATGAGTCGGGAGACGGTGGAACAGCCTGGGTTTGAATCGAGGGAGCTGGTGGTCTTTGGTCTTGAGGTGATGGTTGGGGACGTTGAAGATGCGGAGGCGCTTGTCGCTGATGATATGGTCGTTGAGCTGGCGGTGGGCGTGCCGGTCAATCGAATAGTTGAAGCTGATAAAGAAGCTGTGGCCGCACGCACATTTCCTACGCTGGTGCAGAAGCCGTTCAATTCTGCGATTGCAGAGTAGTCTGTTGGGCTTGCACTTTTGGCATACGAGACGCCTGAATCATATTGTTAGTCCTTTGAAGCGTATTCTGAAGAGAGAATCTTACAGGTGGAAATCGCTCCGTCAAAGAAGTTTGGATTCCAGGTACCACTGCTGTAGCAAAGACAAGGTGCCTGACTTGACGGCGCGAAAGTCAGAAATCCAGGGCTGAACGATTCGCAGATGGAGATAGCATCCAACACCGTTCCGCAGGCGGATGCTGGAGCTTGCCGTGCTTCAATTCCACGCTTTCCATTGAAGACATTCACAGCATCGCCCACGAGACCTGGCGCAGGCGAGCGTGGGAGCAGAACCTCTCGAAGCACGATGTCTGCAAATCCGCTTGCATAAACTCCGAACACCTGCAACGCAGCGATCAACTGAAGCTTGGCTAGCATCTTGAAAACAGTCACAACCGATTCTGGTAGGCGGCGCAAAGAATGAAGGATTCAACGAAAGGCGTAAAGGTTCAAAAAAAAGAGCTGAAAGCAGAATATAAAAGAACCCGCGTATCTGCTCGAACACGGGTCGCACTGGACACTGCACCCAACACGTCCCATAGCTATTGCATGAAAAATTCCAAAATAAATACGCCTCGGTCCACTATCGTGAAGCCATGATTCGAAAACGGAATGAAAATTACGAGTAGGTGACCAACGAGATGAATCAGTGTTCGCGTATGGAGAAGCTGCCGTCAGGGGGGAGGGTGATCTCAGCCAGTTGCAACTCGGCTAGCGTCCTGGGGTCCCGGAATCGACGGCTGCAGAGGCAGATTTGGTGGAACTTGCTGTTCAGCTGCTCAGCCTTGTCGGCTTTGACAAGACGCTAAGATGCGTTTTATTGTTTTTGGTGACGATTGCGGGAGCTATTGGAGCTCCCGCAGAATTTTGGGAAGTAGATACGCTGTTGAGCCTCACCCACGCTTCCGAGTTTCGGGGCTTATTCTAAGTTGCTTAACAATGATGTCTGCCTATTGATTCTCTCAAGAATGAGTGGGAATAGCTGGAGGTTCAGACAACGCAACGCGGGTTTTAGTTGTCAACGGTGTCGCTAAATTAAATGAGAAGAAGAAATTCGTTTGGAACATGGCATGATGTCTTTTCCCGTAGTGGGCACGGCTCGTAGAGTGACGAAATCAGCATCATGTGGGAGGGTACTATTGTCACTTGTCAACTTTTCAATCTTAACGGCGGCGGATAGAACCTGGAAATATTCAGTAGTTAGTAGCGACTTGAAATATTTAGTAGTTAGTAGCGACTTAGATACTAGTAAGTTCTCTCTAGAACTTACTATTATATATATAATTATTTAGCATAAGAGCTAAACAATATCGCGAGAGTATAATAGCTAGTAAAGAGTAATAAAAATCTTTCTATATAGAAATTACAAGAAGCTTATATATAAAATATTTACTTATATTATTAGAGACTAGATTCTTAAGCTTAATATATTTCTTCTTTACTTTTTTTTAAATATATTAACTATAATTTTTATTTTTCTTAAAGAACTAACTATATTAATACTATTATTATTAAAATTATTTAGTATTTAACTACTTATAAAGTAAAAAGAATATATTCTATTTATAAGTAATATCTTTTAAAATAATTAACTATAGACTTATTTTAAGAATTAAAAAACTTAAAAGATATTAAGATAAAGAGAGTATTTTCTATTATTTTATAACTTTATTTAATTTCTAGAATTATTAAAACTCTATTTAGATATTAAGCTATTTTAATTAAAAGTAAATTATAAAATTTATTAATAAATTCTTTTTACTATATATTACTATAATATAAAAATAAATAGTCTAGTTACTTTATTACTTATAATAATATAAGTTTATAGATACTAAAATAGAAATATATAGTAAAATATTTTTAGTATTTTATTAAGTTTTACTAAATCTAATATAAAGAATATAAAATAATAAAAAGTATATATATAGAAAGAACTACTAATTATATACTTAAAGTTTTAACTTAAAATAGACTTAAACTATATTTAACTTTAATATCTCTAGATTTTATTTAAACTAGACTTTAAGTCTCTTTACTATATAAGTATATAATAATATACTATTATATTACTTTTAATAAACTTTAAAAACTATTAAAGATTTAGTATATTATAGTAAATAGAACTTTAAAATTATTATAATTAAAAACTTTAAAAGTTTAGCTTAAATTAAGATAATAGTATTATAAAATAAAACTAAAAAGAAAAATAAAAGAAAGTAAAAACTTAGATAATTATTAAACTTCTATAAACTAAAAGTAAAAAAGTTTATATATAACTTATTTAAGTAAACTACTAGTAGTTTTAGTATTAATTATATTAGTTATAGTAAACTAAACTTAAAATAAACTAAGCTAGAGATTAAAAATTAACTAGTATAAAAGATTAATTAAAAGTTAAACTAAAAAAGAGTTATACTTATAGTAAGTTATACTAATTAGAAGCTAGACTTAAAAATAACTAAGTTAAATATAGTAAAAGTTAAAAGAAAGCTAAGTTAATAGTAAGCTAGTTTATAGTAAGCTATTATATAAGAGAAAAGTATAAGTTATTATAAAAACTATAGTATAATAAAAATAAGTAAACTAAGTTTAAAAGAACTAAATAATTAAAGTAATAAACTAAAAATACTTTTTAATATAATAAAGTTATTAAGTTATAATATTAGTATATATAAAGTATAAAAATAAAGTAAGAAAATATTTTATAAAAATAAATAAACTATAACTATATAGAAATTACTTCTTTTAAAAAGTAAATTAAGTAGTAAGAATATAACTTAATAAGCTATAATAAACTTTATAATAATATCTAGAAAAATCTATAACTAATTTTAAAATAAAATAATATATTAACTTAAAAAAATATATTTATTAATTAATACTCTAAGTTTATTCTATCTAGTAACTAAATATATATATAAACTTTAGATTTTAATATAGTTTTTTATATTAAACTAAGAAATAATTAAATAAAAAAATTTAAATAGTATTTTCTATTCTTTATATTATTAGAATTTCTTTATTTATAAGATTAAAGACTATTAAAAATTATATATAATTAATATTAATATATTATCTTTTTATAAAACTATTAAGTAATCTATTATTTACTATTTAACTAACTAAAAAGTATAAACTATATTAAAATACTAGAGAAAATAAAGAAGTAATTTAAAGAAGATTAGTAGAAAAGAGTATATAATACTTTATAAAATTAGAGATACTATAGTCTATAAAGAAAAAGATAAGATAATCTAATAAATAATAAGATTTTAAAGAAATAAATACTATAAAATCTTAAATAAAAAAAATTTAAAGATTATAAAGTATATAAATACTAGATTTTAAAGTAAAGATAAAAGTTTAGTATATTTAAGAGAGTAAATTAAATATTATAGCTTTAGTTATTAGTTATAAACTTTTATAAATATTTTTAAAAGAAAAGAAATTAGTTACTTTTAAATTTTAAGTAAAAGCTTTTAACTTAAAAGAATAAAAATAAAATAAAAGAGTATTTATATAAATACTTTAAAGCTAACTAGTAATAATTTATATTTAAAAAGTAAGATAATATTACTACTAATAAAATTAATAAGTATATTATTATAATAAATAGTTGAATAAAAGACTACTAGAGAAACTTATTAATTTATCTATTTAAAGAAGTCTTAGTATAGCTCTAGTAAATAACCTTTATTTAATAAACTCTATAGAAGAGATAGAACTAAAGAAAATTTGTTTTAAAAAGCTCGAATAGAGGTATCTAAAGCGGAGAATAAAATGAAAGCATTATACGAGGTCTCGATAGGCTTTAAGCTTTTTACCTATTAACCGTTAGCTGACTCTACTTTAAGGCGAGGAACGTACTACGCCGCTTATCACTAAGGCCCCGTCCGGCGTCCTCTCTTCACATCAATTCTACATTATCATTCAACTATACTAAGAACCGTACACACTGAGAACATCACACAACCTCGCGGACCGCTAACGCAGATCAAGCGAGCTCTTAAGAGCCAGTGAAGGGTTGAACAACATTAACGTTAGCCGTCATAGAATCGCGCAATAGTGTTCTTTGAAAGAGAAACCATCTATCTTTGAGTAGAATGCTTGCGCAGTCTACTCAATGACACAACCAGCAAGAAAAGCATGCGAGCTGGCAGCCAAAGCATGTTCTTCTTAAGATTGGGATTCGGACGTCTGCTTGACTTGGTATCTTCTCATGTGTTGGTCGTGGTGATGGACTTTGGGCAGTCGAGGATGTTTGGTAGGTATGATGGAAGTGTGAGATGAAGAAGAAAGTCTTGAGAAACGGAGGGATCAGATGTCTAGTAAGTAATTTGGGTTGAGGCGGGAGTGATGGCCGTAACTGCCCTTTCTGTTCTCGCTTAATTGAAAGTAGCTTCCCCGCCAACACTTCACTAAAAAGGGGAAGTACCCACACTGCACTTCAATCAGAGTATGGTTAAACAGTATTAAAGGATAGAGGATGACATTATGTGGGTTGCTTGTCAGAAACGTTGTCGACAAGCGCTATCGACTTTGAAGGGTTCGGTTCGCAATAGAGGTAGGACTAAGGGCCTATTCGTTCAGATAATTTAGTACCATATTCTATAATGAGACTCTCGAGTTTAGTAGGTATTTAAACTAGGCTAAACCTCTTATATTATAGTCCAACCACACAACCTGGCAAGTCACAAAGCCTTTACAGGAGCCTTAACTACATGATAGGCCTTAAAACAGTGCCCTGGACACGGAGCCCTGTAGAGGCTGTAGAGCCTATAGATCTTAAGCCTGTAGAGCCTGTAGAGGAGCCTATAGACTTAAAGTCTGTAGACCCTGTAAAGCCTATAGTCGGTAGAGGCTATAGAGCCTAAAGAGCCTGAAATGTGTCGCTTTTCGTCGTGAGAATATAGAAATAAGCTGGTCCTGATCAGCTTTTTAGTCCTTCCATACAAATCAGAGAATTTAGTAGCGTAATATCTAAACGAACAGGCCCTAAAGTTCCTGAACATAGGTGTATATGATTCATTTTCGTTCAATCTCATTTAATGAGTACTAGCTATCCTTCCTTTCATAATCCAACATTGTTATATCTCCTTTTCAAAGTTAAAACCGAGAAGTAGCGCTGGTTCGCTGAAACAACGCGAGGTGTAGCTAACCCTGACCCTCTATTCTAGGTCCACAAGTCATCATTTTAACATTTAATCATGAGTCGTAGATATCGTCCATCAGCGGATTGTCCTCCGCAGGAACATGTCTTGCCTCCCAATTCAAATAATCGCCCAGGTCATGTCCTAGGTTAAAGCCCATTGGAACACGAGCCTCTTCAACCTTTCCCGACTTGCTCGTCTCACCAGCCGCCGCTAGATCAAACATTGGGCTCGGTGGCAGACTTCCTGGTGTCTCTGGAGAGTTGATGGCCGTCGTAGATGTAGAATCAAGTTCTCTTCTGTTGTGGTGGCCCAAATCAAATGGCCGCGGCTTGCGCTGACGAGACTGGCCCCGAAGTGGTGATGCCGATTTGGCCATAGTTGAAGACAACTCCTGGAGCTCACGGAAGTAAGCTTCTGCCCTTTGTTTGGCGTCTTTATCCATATCTCCCCTAGCTATCTCGTCCACCTCCAATATGCCTGAACTAGCAGAACTCTTAGCCTCCGGCTTATCCTTGTCTTGCCCCTTAACGAGCTTTCCAGGAGGACCAACAGCGAGAGCTTCCCACCACTCGCAAAGATCCTCTTTAGTATCCTCGTCTTCTTCGCTTTTTGACTCGTTTGCTGGGAGAGAGTTGCCAAGTGTGGCCATCTGAAATGCGTTCCAGTCTACTGGCTCTTCTTGCTCCCACATGGTGTGTAAAGGAGAATAGCTCTTTTCTAGCCGACGTGCCTTTATGCTGCTATTGGAAATTTGGATGGGCCCTTGAAGAAATTGCGGAGACAGCCGAGTGTAAAGAGTGGACGGAAGATATGTGTTCTTTTGGTCGTTTTGTGGAAGCGGTGTCTTTTTGTTTATGAACTTAGATGCCGCTCCAGAGCCAGTTGCTACCGTTGGAGATTGGGAAGGAGTGCCGTATGGGAAACGGGTTGTAGAGAAGTTGAACGGCGATAGTTCTCCGATAGTGGGTAGAACCATATTCATGGAATTCGATTCCTTGTGGATATTCGTGCGTAGATGCGCGGGGAGAAGGGGTGCTTCTGTCGTCAGGGGAAGGAGCAATTCGTGATCCTCTGTCGGGGTAGCTTCGTCCGGCCCCCTGACCACTTCAAGCTCGTCAATCAGAGATTGGATATCTGAGTACAGCTTTTGCTGCCTGGATTCTGATGTTCTTCTTTCTAGGTTAGCATCCAGTCTAGAGGCCAGCTCTTCCAAATGAAATGGATCCGTTGGCGTGTCAGACCTGGCTGAGCTGTTGCTTCTGGTCGAGTCCGCAGAGTTTCTTGCTGTATCCTTTGACACTGCTGCTTGCCGAATCTCCTTTATTCTTTCTGGAGTCAACGTTTTTTCCCCTTCTATCCCACGGTATTTCTTCCCTAACCCTTTGAGCTTGAAAGCGTCCGCAATACTTGTTGTAAATTCTGTTAGAGTCCATTTCGAAAGGCGACGCTCAGAAGACCTAGCGCGGCTTCGCTGAAGGTTCTTCAACACACTTGATTCCTTCTTTTGCTTCTTCTCAATGGACTTCTTGCTATGATGCTTTGAGCTCAATGCTGTTGATCGTCTCAGGGTTTGTGTAGCCTTCAGCGGCTTTTGCGCAGCGACCTCAGGAATTGCTAGGGAGCTTTGAGCAGCAGCAGGCAGCACTCTCTGAGAACTGCCCTCCCCTTGTGATATATCTATTGGCGGAGTTGTGGGACGCCAGAGCTTGGGAGCAGCTTTCGCGTCGGCGAGGGCGACTTCTACCTCTTTCAAGGCCGCGTCAGTCACTTGAATCAACTCCTCCACGTCCTCCAGAAGCATCCGCATCTTTAGGGACTGGCGCGCAGAATTCTGCGGCACAACTGTCTCCTCTAACCTCCTAGTAATCCCTTCACGCAAGCCAAGAATAGAGACTCGCGTATCTTCCTCAAGGTCAGTAGGATCAGTAATATTGCCTTGTATGCCTGGGAGCTGTGATTGTGTGCGAGGTTGGCGGTGAATGTTTACTCTTGCGCTATTCGGGGTCACTGGTGTAAACAGTGGCCGGGGATAAAGAGTTAATCCAGAGTATCGTCCTGGGCCGAGCTCTAACAAAGGACTTTCGCTACAAGACGCGAGCGAGACGCGACCACATCCACACAAAGAACATTCTATCATTGAATTACAGCCAATAGTACACTGAGGTGTAGCGGGTGTGTTGTAAAGAGCTCTTGATGATATCTTTCGAGCGAAACTTGCAGCTTGAATTTGCTCTTCGCCAGATGCAGCTGATACGCCCCCATCATCCACGATGCTCCTACTGAGCTTTGGGGAGAACACAGGTGAGATGTGAAGACCAGTCTCTGATGGTAGCATAACGTCGTCTCAGGTGGAGGAAACTGGTAGTCACTGGTCATTAATACACTCCATCAAACTGCAACATGACTCTACGACGAAGTCACTGAGTGTTCATCTGCCTTGAACCAGAGATGCGAAGATTTCAGTACATACAGTATTCCCAGACGGCCACGAATTCCATGATAACATAGAGCTGTAAGTCCAAACTCAACTATAACTGAATACAAGTTGAAGAAGATAGCCATGACATAGGGCGGGACACAATCCACATTGTTATCAAAGGACCCCTCCGCAGCTCGCAAGACGTCGAAGAGTTTAGAGACCGTACCAATATCGCGCGATTGATAGGCCGTAGAACACGGCTACCTACAGGAAAATTAAAGCATGCCTACTTCGTAATCCAACACTATAACGATGTTCTCGAAAACGCCCAGCGGAACGTACAAGGAGGATTTTAAATTCGAAGACCGACTCCTCCAGAACAAGCAGATTCAGCCGCTTCAATTCTCAGCTTAATGTGCAGCAACGATGCATATCAAGCACCGAAAATAGTGCTCGTGATACAAGCATGTAGTGACAGGACCTATCATTCATTTTGGCTTTCGGCGTACTATGTCAGTTGTTGCGGAATGGGCCGAATACACGATGAGCTTAGCCACAAGAAGTCTAGGAAAATCACCAGCTTTCGTGTCTAGGGATACTCGGTGGTGGCTCAATGTGACACAAGGACGGGTCGATACAGCCCGCCACAGCGAGACACTTGGTGACCTAAGAGGAGAGCTTCTCGGCGGCTGTGCGGTTCGGACAAGCTGAGAGGCTGCTCGTAGACAAAGAGAAATGGTTGGAACAACAAATCGAAAGTCCTCACGATACATATGAACCAGGTGCACTGAGCATCCCGTGAGCGGCGGACCTACACAACGAAACTCACCATAATCAATGTATGGAGATGTTCTAAAGCGAGCGAGGAGGAATGGACCGACTTTCTAGACTGAGTTTCGGTGCAGGATGCAGAATCCTGACGAGCTCATGCGACGAAGCACATAGCCGACAAATAGAACTTGTATTTTGCTGCTGGGAATATCATAGTCTGCATTAGATGATGAGGTCAAATACCACCCAAAGGAATCGTGGTTTTGACATGGAGAGATGGAGTCAAAAGTATAATTATTTTCCGAACATGCCGCTCACTGCATGCGGCGTTCTGCGAAAACAGTCAAGGGGAAACGCTTGGCCACGACATTTTCCATCATAACGTGACTACTGCCTCTCCAGCGGCTTATGGATACTGTTTTCTAGGTGCTTGTAACAAGAAGGCTGCTACTCATGCTAGCAATACGACTCTAAGAAGCCATACATTCATGTTTTCAACATTCCAAGGTGCTGAAGTGGGTGCTACACACGTGACACTTCACATCTGCTTCGTGGTAGATGAAATAGTGGCAGTTGAAACACGTTCTTTCTTCGATTGTGTAAACGAGACATCGCATACTTAGTGGATTAAGCTGGAACAAGATTATATGGTCCGTCCATTTTGTCAAGTAAAGGAGACTCCTTAAGCGCTATGCGAAGTCGATTTATTCTGTCCTCCGCGAGCTAGGTTGCGGGAAAAACTTCATCAATGATCTGTTGCCAAAGCAAAATTTGGATCGGAAAATATTGTAAAATGTAATCATTCATAATAAGTCCACAAATAGGTATATCCCGCGTTCCCATAGAGTTATTCAACATATATTCAATGCCAACTCCTTTAATAAATATCAGATTTCGAACAACATGGCTTTTATAGATTTCCACGCTCAATATCTCCGCTCTCTCGCATCCGAAACCCAGTAATCTCCCTCTTCATCACTGGGCGGATAATTGAGCTCCTGGCCGTCGCCGGCCGCTGACCCATGCTAAGTCTCTCACGAACCCACTCCGTGTCGGCACTCTTCCGTACACTTAGGACTTGCTCCATACGCATAGCCTCTAAACCGGAAATACCAATGCCCAGGTTAAGTCCATCTACTTCACCGTTACCAGAATAATGCCTTTGCCTTTTGAGACGTTTCCTTTCAGAATTCCAGTTCCTAAGACGTCGAAGGAATTCGCCAATATCATCCAGGTAGAACGCTACAAATATCATAGGGATTGAAATCGAGAGACCAATGCCGAACATGTATTTGCTAACGTATCCAAGGCCTAGACCGCCATCACGTTGTTGGAACTCGCGTATGTTAATAGCAAAGAAAGCAGCGATAAAGGACATTGGCAAGAATACAATCGTGACGATGGTAAAAACCATTACCGTTTGACTTTGACGCGCTGTGCTTGTAGCCTGATCGCGAGCAAAGCGGGCTTCGAAAGCGTTTGCGTGTTTTTGTTTCAAGTCGAGCATGTCCGTTACGGAGGCATATATTCGCTCTGCTTGTTTGTCCATTCGGTCTATATCCTTGATGTGAGTTAACACAGTTTTCATTTGCTCGGCAAACCGCTTTTTAACTTCTTGCTGATTGCGTTTCTCTTCTTGATAGATGTCGAGGATTGCGGCCTCGATGGTAGGAATGACGGATTGTTGGTCTTCAAGGACCTTTTTGATCATGTTCAGTTCGTCCCGAATATCCTTCGTCTCGGCAAGAAGATCAGTCTCTTGCCCAATATCTAAGAGTTTATCGACGAACATTGGGCCTCGAATAAAATCCTCAAAGTTATGGATGTCTGGTTCAGAGGAGGACTTCGCAGGATCATGAGTTTTTGAATAAGCATAGGAGGCAGGTTGCATAATTCGAGAAGGTCGGTTTAGTCGACGGTTATGCTGCAGCCAAGCAGATGCCTGCGCGCTTGCTTCATTGAATTCCTTAAAGAGCAAAGTTTCCTTGTCTGTGGCGTTGCCTATGCTTGATTCGAACATGTCAAGAAATTGGTAGTCTTCATCACCCATCCGATGTCGATCGAATACTCCGGTACATCTGCTAGTGACAATCATAGCGAGGTCATAAACAGATTTAACAGGGTCTCGGGTCTTGTCGTTGATATCTTCGATGATACTATCAAGAACATTCAAGGGATCGTTTTTAGGCTGCTGCCAACGTTGGGGAAATGAGGTAACAACAAGGTCTTTTCCAAGCACCCACATCCATAATTGATCTACCATGACAATCTACGAAAAGAAGCGTTAGATATGACCCATGCAGAGACAAGAGGTGGAGAAGCTGCTTACTTTGGGATCACACGGTTCATTGGGCTCTGTATCTTTTAGCTGATATCGATACACAACCTGATCTAGATCCCGCCACTTCGTATCAATGTTGTGATAGAAAGATTGATCCAAGGTACGCCGTATGTGCAGAGATACGGTTGACGATGTGAGGTGAGCACGGATCAGCATTTCATCAAAGGTTTTCGCCCTGCTGAGGTTGCGAGGGGCTGACGACCTCATCATTTCAGCTTGTTTTACAGCACGCTGCATTTCCTGACATTTCTGATTTGTTTCAAAATGCAAATATGGCATAAAGGTATAAACGTTTTCCTTCAGCATAAGCGGAGCATCTCGTCGACCAGAAGCACTTGGAGAACGAGGGGCTTTGCTCTGGTGCAAATAAGTTGCCTTTCTCTGTTCTTTCGAGTTCTTAGGGGTCGCGTTGTCGCTTCCAATTTTCGGAGACTTGCTCCCCTTGGTTTGAGCTTTGTCATGGCCTTTCTTGGATTTCTCCTTTTGTGACCCTTTTCCATGCTCTTTTCCAGAGCCTGGTGTATCTTTCAGCCAGTCATCCCCAGAAGCGGAAGTCGATCCCCGTGTGGGAGTCCGAGGTGTCGTAACCGAGCGAGCATCTGCAGCCCCGTTGACAACAATCGTAGGAGGAGGGGGAAGTGGCCTCGGATTCTCGTCCTTCGCATCAGCTTCCACGACTTTGACTGCTCGAGGCGTACTCTGACATAACGGTCGCATGAAGTGTGAGTGTGATTGTTGCCCACGATGCTGGTGGCTGAAAGACCTCTCAAGAGCTTTAAAGCCTTCGATATCACTCGCGCCCTCTTCAATGAACAACTTTGTCAACAGCGCTTCAACCCATGCCATATTGTTCGCAGGAAGATGTATCCATCGAAAAGAGGCTGCCTTATTATCGGGTCGGATGGTCATGGCAGGTTTACGAGGATTGACAGAATCCCTCCCATACAAAAGCTCAAAGACTGTTCTCCGCTGGACTTTATTCTCGTTACGAAAATCGCCGAAGTCAACGATCGTTGCATTAAATCCATTACATGCTCCTAGCGCATCTGAAGATAAACTATCAAGGTTATTGAAAGGTGCGAGAAGACTGACAATGTCTTTGCGTTTATTCTGGGCTGCTCGTAAAAACGGTGTGCTGCCGAACGTGTCTCGGGCGGCTCTCTTCAGATGTTTGAATGTCAGAAGATAATTTACAACAGACAAATGCCCACCCTCCGCGGCAAGGTGCAACGGCGTCATCCCATTGAGAAGCTTCCCATTGACATCTGCGCCAGCTTCTACAACAAGACGAACAATCTTCTCTGAGCCAATCGCACAGGCATTGTGTAGAGGTGTCCACCCACCATCACTTCGAGCATGTACGTTCGCTCCGTTCGAGATTAAGAATTCCACGATATTGTCACGATCATGTGCAGAGGCAAGATGCAGACCAGTCTTCTCTCTGACCTCAACCGCATCTATCTTCGCCCTTGGCCCTTTAGGCCGGGTCAAAAGCTGCTCGACTAGGCGCTTCTTGCCAGTTACACACGCCCAATGAAGTGGTGTCCTTTGCAATTCGTCTTGACCCTCCTCGTCGTCGATATAGATATTCTGCCTCAGAAGCACTTCAATGACGTCGTCCCCCCAGTTGTTGCATTTATCGGCGGCCAGATTGTGAAGCACATTCCTTCCCCTCAAATCCTTTGCATTCACATCTGCTCCATGCTTGATCAACGAATTGAGAATGTGGTAGTGGTTCTTCCAGGCAGCTGTCATCAGCGCATTTCTTCCCTTTTTGTCCGAAGTTTCAGGATTTGCGCCATGCTCGAGTAGTGCTGCGACTATTGCGATGTGATTTCGATCGACGGCGCGCAGGAGGGGAGAAAGTCGATTTCCAGGAGCACCGTCAGGAGGTGCCCCTTCAGATAGAAGATATTTCGTTGCAGCCACCTTCCCCTTTTCCGAACTCCTCATCAACGCAATGCGCAGATGATGCTCTTGGAGCTGGCCTTTGAGCCTTGCGCTGGCAAGCAGATCGCGTAACTTCTCAACATTGTCGTTTTCTGCTGCTCGAAGCAATTGCGGTTCCAGACGTTCTGTATGATCTGTCGACCTGGATCTTGTCCTTGTCAACTCTCCTCCATCGGTTACCATTGTATATCAATGTGGGTTCATCAGCCTTAGCTCCGTCGATGTCGAAAAGGACGTATAGCGATAGCAGCGAGGTGTCGTGCTCGAGTATCGTATGAGTTTCGTGGAGGGTCTTCGGATATCAACATGATCGCAGCCCGAGCAATCATGATCAAAGCCTGGGTTGACCCAAGATGATAATGAGAGAACTGGCAGACGAATATTTGTGGTTAACTGAACTGCTCAACTGCAAGTCTGCAATTACTCGTTGGCGAGACCAAAGCGACAGCCCCTGTCAGCCAAGCTCCGCGGCATCTGTCAGAAGCGGGAGGAAAACACTTTGTGCTCGATGCAACAACCTCGATTACAACATGATATCATTGACGAAACTCCACATCTCAACGAGCTACCAATTCCATCCTTACCGGGTCAACGAAGCCATCTCAATCGAGCTGCCAGTATCGCAAGGGCGCCTTCACGAACGAAAGCTCGGTTTGGTATGTTTGAAGGACCAGAAACACAAAGGCATTGTCGGGAGCGTGCCGCGGTACTGTATATGGTCCGCGAAAAGCAGCAATTCAGATAGGAAAAGAGTCACAGAACGAGGACGCAGAAAATGAGGACGCAGGAAGCAAAGGGGTCTTGTTGCTAAGAGGAGTCTATGGAATGCCCGGAGCTATGTTGGTGCGACACGTCTTGGTACCCACAATTGCCAAGTGGTCACGCTGAAGATCAAAGACAACGTCCAGATTTATAACACTCTCATATTGTCTATTTCCAGACGGATTACTCTCATTTATGCGACAATTGCCGTTTCTTTTTCAAGCCTATTGCTTCTTTAGTATCTCAAGCCCTAATGTTGTTATGGCATATTATGGCAGAGAGAACCAAGCCTCTGATTCTTTCAAGTGAGACGGAACCGAATGGCCAACCCCCGTACCGTAAATGCCCTCTACATTTGGCCCATAGTCAGATGTAGTGTAAGAGCTCTCTGGCGTGTTGGTCTTCGAGCTAGTTGCGGTCATCGAGACATTGAATATGCCAGTCCATTGCTTAAGCTCTTCTTGATAGTTCTGGGGCGCAATCGTTCCGTCTGCAGAACCATGCCAGATTTGCATCTTTGGTCGGGGACCGTTATAACCAGGGTACATGTCTTGTGCAACTTTGGCCCATTGGGCTTGACTTTTGGTCGAAGTACCTCCTGAGCAAGCGTTATTCCATTGTGCAACACCGGCACCGACAAAGCATCCGGCAGCCACTCCTGAGTAAACGGAGACAGCCTTGATCAGGTCAGGATATGTGGCTGCTAGAACGTTTCCCATCATCGCTGTTCATCCCTTAGTGAGAAAACTCCAGGATATCCAAAGCACACTTACCCCCTGATGATCCTCCTGTTACATATACCCTCGAAGCGTTGACAGAGTACTGCGGAATTGCGTACTTGATCATATTTGCAATAGCCGTTGAATCTCCGCCACCATCACGTTTAAGAGACTTTGAACTTGAGACGTCCCAACAAGTCCCGCTGTTTGGACTACTTGGCCACACTGTAATATACCCACCTAAATCAGAGCCCTTTTTCCATGGAATCTTCGCGTTGTTGAAATACGAGGATGCTGAAGATTGGCAAGAATGAATCACTACAACCAATGCTGGATTGGGTTTCACATTGTCTGGTTTGTAGGCCCACCTTGGAAAATGCTGTTAGCAGAATTCAATGAATGGTCATTTCTCTTACATCTCTGCCTTTGACGCAGTACCGCCATAGTTGGAAACCTTGGTTAGAGTGGCTGCCGAGATGAGGCAGGGTAGTGACAACACTTCCAGTATCGTGAGCAACTTCATCTTGCTTGTTCAAAATATATCAAATTTCAGTCAAAGTTAGGCTTTCCAAACGTCTTTGGTGCAATGTCCAAACTATACTTGTACACGTTTTGCAGTAGATCTTTTTAACGGTTCTTATTGTTGCAAATGGTTATTACATTATGGTAGGTATCGCAATTAATTTAGCATCACAATATGCTCTACACGTTACAGCCTAATGGACAATCATCATATAAGCTTTCTTCCACACCCACTCACCCTTAACCGAGTGTGGGGCTTCCCCAGATCTTCATTTAGCAAGACAGCCTCCAGACCTATAGGCATTCAATCATGTGTTTCGTTATTTCATCCGGAAGATTGTTTATCAGTTTACACAATGGTACCAATGCTCCGCAAAAGACATGATCATGCGGCGAGAAAACGCGTATAGGGTATATGGTTTTCTTCTGGGGGTGCTCCAGTGCACTACCAGATCAAAAGGATGGTATTAAAGGATACGACCAACCTGATTTGCAGATACATATATCCGGGGAAACAAATTGCCATGGAATCAGCAGACTATTCTTGCTAAGCTGACTACCGTTCGGAAGCTACTGTGGAGGCTTTGACCTACTCCGTCTCCTGATTTTCATCCCTCGGACAAACTTCTAAAAACACACAGCTTTTACATTGTACAAGATGGCGAGGATTTGCTTTCTATTTGCTTGTGCTGTCTTCTTTAGACTCACGACAGCTCACGGAGGAGTAAGCAACTATACTGTGGGAAGCACCTGGTATCGAGGGTGAGCTGTCCACAATTGCTAAATATCTCAAGGTTCTCTGAGTGTCACAATTTGCCATAATTCTGACACAATTGTACAATACAGATATAGTCCTGAAGAAACCCCAGAGGCCCAAGTTGGCCAGCCGTGGCTTATTAACAGACCATGGGCAGCCATCGAACCCATCTACGATCCAATGTCATTGGCAATTACGTGCAACTCCCCAGGCACACCAGCAACATCAAGTATCCCGATCAGAGCAGGCCAGAATATCTCTGCAATTTACTATTAGTAAACAACCCTTTTCCACCAACAAATTTATGCCAACCTGACAACACATAGTTGGCTACACAACGTCGGACCCGTTGTAGCATGGATGGCATCTTGCAACGGACCATGCAGCTCGCCTTCCTTCAACGCTAGCAACGCAGACTGGTTCAAAATTGGTCAAAAAGGATTATTGTCTGGCACTATAGTCGAAGGAATGTGGTTCCAGCACGAATTCCAAGATTGGTCTGGGGCGCCGAATGTTTGGACGGAAACGATACCTAAAGATCTGAAGCCAGGGGAATATCTCATTAGACATGAGATAATCGCACTACATATCGCGAATCAACCTCAATGGTATCCAGAGTGCGCTCATCTCAAAGTTAGTGGAAAGGGAAAGAAGGTGCCGGGGAAGAAGTTTCTTGCAAAGCTACCTGGCGCTTACAGTTTGAGTCGTGAGTTGGCTAGGTATTTTTGACCAGTTCAGTTGTGCTAACGGAGTCAGAGCCTGAGATTGGAATCGATATTTATTCTGATGAGTGGTACAATCGAACAGTAAGTGGAATGATAGTTAAGTAGTAACCATACTGACGAGCCGTAGACCTACAATATTCCGGGGCCACCAGTTTGGAATGGGGAATAGTTGATGCAATAGAAAAAATGCCTGAGAAGTTCAGAATTAACAATTTTTGAATGAATACCCAAAAGTGTCACCTTGGATATGTAAATACTAGTGTCAGCATTCTTCCAGTCTACCAAGTAGCCATTGATAAAAATCTAATTCGGTTTGCCATTAGAATCGTAGCACGGATTATGTTCCGTTCCGTCGCTACACCTATGTCTCGAACTGCTATTATTTAGAACGAAGATCGAGCGAGTCATGTTTCCTGCAAGGAAAAAAAAGTGACACTGGACATTAAAGTCGTAACATTTTCAAGAGTGTGTTACACCATTCCACTATATACATTGTGTCTTCAGCGTGCTAGAGACACAAGCCTTCCTCCTTCATACCATTCACTATCTCCACAACCACATCCCCAACGTCATCTTTCCCATTCCAATTTGTTCCATTTGCGCCTTGCGATCTTCAGGTCGTCGTCACATTAACCAACGGCCAATTGATCCCCTTATCCGCCGCACCCGAGTTCGCCAACCCAGCGCAAGCATACAGACCAACAGGATTATTCTGCGTCGCCCTCAAATACTGCAAGTCGATGCATTCGGCTATTCCTCTCATTAGTCCCAGAACCCGCATCGAGGGAGATCTTTCTTACCAGGACTAGATGGCTTAAGCGCGATACGTCCATCGGCCATGGCGTCCCATTGCTGTGAGACTTTACCAGGTGCGCAGTCTATTAAGTAGATGTTTCCCATGTCTTTCCAGTTGCCTGCGAGTCGTTAGTATTTCCGAAGTATCGTTGATGAAATTAGCTGTGCCTACTTTTTGGTCCGCCGTCTAAGCACAAAGTCGTATTCGCCAATTGAATCGTCGTGTTTCCAGCTTTGATATACCACTGCTGTTCCGGCTTCTTGGTCAGGGTTTGCCTATCATCACTCAAGTCAGAAACCCTAAAAAGGTATGCTCCAGCTCGGTAACTTACACGACAGTCGTACTCCCATTCTTCGCAGCCTTCGGCGTAATGACGAATTTCGCATCTTGCAACGACGTGATATACACAGTTCTATACCCCGCCGGCGGCTCCGCAAGACCAACAGCGGCAAGCGCTACAAGGAGAATGGATGTCGCCAACATGATGTTCAATCGTCCTGAATGATTAAAAACAATTGCGAGATCGTGAAATTACCACGCCGAAGAAGCACGTATGTTTATATACACCCCCATATATCCTCAACCTCAACGCAACATTAATCTAACGAACTCCAAACGTGCCTAATCAACCTATAGCCAACCCCCTCCTACTTTCCTCAAAGTAGCAATACTATGGCTAATGCAATCCATCACCTATAGAATCGAGATCTGTAGTCATGCGATGTTTTTCCGTCGTTCGGCAGATATTTTGCGCTGGATGGCGGTGATCCAGAGGGGCCCGTTCTTGGCTAATTCCGAATCAGGCGTGACGGGGTAAATTCAGGGACGCGAGTTAATTCATTTGCGGGATTATGTTGTTCCACCGGGATCAAGAGTGAAGTCAATCAACGAAATGAGTAGGTTGCTTTAGAATAAGAACGGACTACCGACAATATAACTTGAGGTGCATCACATGACTTGAGTTGGAAAATATTGCAGCGGTTCCTCGGGAGATACAGACTCATGACGCTATTAGAAAGGTTATTGAGTTTGTACCTAGAGATCAGATGGTTTACGATATTGTGAAGTGGATGTCTTAGAGATTTACACTTCATATCCATGTCGCCGCACTCGCTTAGATGAAAAGGGGGGCTCAGGAAGTTAAGCGACTGGCTATGAACTTGGCTTGTAGTGAATTGAAAAATGCAATTCAGAGGTAGATTGAATGGTATCCTCGCAGAATGTACTCCTTAGTGTTTTGAGAAATGGACTTCTTGCACCGGGGAGAGGGGCATCAGTCTGCGATACCTCAAATACTTCATCACAACGATAAAAAGATAAGACCATATTTTGTACTTCTTGCCAGAATAAGGACTTGGTAATTCGAGGACTGAATAGCAAGATTCGCATATTAATGTATCATCTAAATGGACTCCAGGAAACTATGCAGCAAGTGCGTCCCACGGGTAAATGACATCATATAAAACAAAAGCCTCCTTTCTGTTCCGTTTTTGTTTCCAAACTCGCCATTCTCCATCATAAAGGCCCAGTCCCAGGCAGCGGAAACCCAGGAAGATTCGGCCAATTCCCCAAATTCGCCGGATCACCACCAATACGCACAAATTGACCAACAGAAGGAGTCGGTCCGTCCAACACAAACATCATATACCAACCAGGCGGACAAGCATGCGCATTCGGCGGCGATGTGACAGTGCAAGTTGTCTCGTCACAAGTGACGGCTGGGAACATTGTTCTCTGGCCCATGCTATTCCCGTGCGTACTGCTTACGCTTCCGAGTAAGGAGACTCTGACACCGCCAGTGCTAGATGTAAATGTAATATCTTCTGCGTATGTCCAGTCCTTGTTGTCGATTGTGAATGTTGGTCTGCTGGCGTTGCTCAGCAGATATGGAGGTGAGAAAACTTCTACCCTGTATTCTTCGGGGAAGTTATCGGGTGGATTGGTGTATTGACCGGAAGGATCAGAACCAGAGACCATGACGCGTCCGTCGAGAAGCACGATGGCTTCTGAATGGTAGAGACGAGCTACACTGGTGTTGGCCATTACAGACATGCGTTGGTTAGGGGGTTTGGTGGGGTCGTAGAGAACTGCGTTATAGTTTGGAGCGCCTGCGAGACCGAATCCAGCTACACCATGTTGACCGCCGCCTAAGATCACATAGGTTCCGTCGGGAAGACCGGCCATACAAGGCATTACTCTTCGAGAAGGCTGTCGTAGGATTAGTAAAAGAGAAGCATGATCATAAGGAAAAAGTGGAGGGGGAAGTAATTACTAACCATGCGCTCAATCAGCCATTGCGGATCTGCGGCTTCGGGTTGGGTTGAAACGCAGTTATCGATTGCATGATGTCCGTTTTCTGTCGAACCACCGCAGACCAATACGCCAAGAGGGTCTGTAAAAGGTGCATATTGAGGTAAGCTGACAGTTGCCCCTTGGAGCTGGTATGATCGTCCTCCAGTGGGATCATTGACAGCGCCTGGCAGATTTGGAAGTGTCTTGATGGTATTAAAATTGACTTCGTCGACTATGCGGGCTTCATTATAGTAAACCATCAAGATTCCAGATGGTACGACAGTGATCCACGGATAAAGATTGAAAGGTGCCGTACGGTCAAGAAAGTCGAGATATTTGGTTGTGTTTGAATATCCACTTTGTGTAGAAGCGTCAGGCACACCGGTAGCCGGCAATATCTCGAGTGTTGGCTGCTCTGCCGCGTTCTGTCCGATCTCGCCTCCAACAACGAGAATTGAGCCATTGGCCATTACCAACGCTGAGGGGTACCAACGAGGAACCTGAAGCTTGAGATGTGCTTTATCTTCAATCCACTGATTTGTGCCTTTGACTCCGGGCGAGCCATCTGGAAGGTACATTCTGACACCATAGTTGGATTCGCCAGCCCACCCTCCAACGTTAATCTGTCTACCTTTCCGGTCTGGCATTGTGACACCTCCAGAACAAAACACATCTGACTGTGGTTGCGACATTGTCCGCCAAGCTGAACTGAAGTTCGCGATCTGAGTTAGATCGAGTTCGTAAGCACCAGTGCCATTCGGAAATCCAGTTCCTGACTTTTCCAAAAAAGTGACTTTGCCAGTAATAGCTTGAGAAGTGATGAGGGGCACAATTCTACCGCCAATCAGAAGAGAATATTCACCTGCGGCTGGACCGGTCGGGAAGCTCCATTGATAAAGAGGTGTGGTCGCATTCCATGTGTATAATGTAAGTCTATCTCCCGAGCCACAGATCAGCTCTGGGGCACCTGTACATGGGGCGTTACATTGTGACTCTGGATATTGTACTGGTGGATTCGCGTATGTATAGTGGTCTACAGCTGATGGATTCGTCGATACTGATGGCAATGAGGCGACCAACAGATTAGCTTGATCACCACAGTCTTAATTCTGTTAGCATGGTCCACATTTCAACCACAAGACACTTACAGCATTGCCGACCATATTCTAAGCCTGCAGCATTGAAGCCAAACTTTTGGCACTGAGCAATACATTCTGACGGAATGTTCGTGGATTTATCCCAAAGTTGATAAGGCAGGGCTGCAATTTTGACATTGGGGTCCTCGGCCGCAGCGACATTGTCACCCCAGCATCCAGAATATCTCCATCCGCTAGGCAAGCCAGATATCTGTGGTGCAGGTGGCTGAAATACCTGGGGAGCACCAACTGAGTATAGGGTGACCCTTCCAGGACCTCCACAGAACTCTGCCGTATTTCCCGGGCAACGAGAATTGCAGTCAGCCTGGTTCGGTGCCAAAGCGCCTCCATTATACACAAAGTTATCACAGAAGCATTGTGTGCCAAACTCAGCGCCAGCAACTTTATATCCTAGCCCAGCACATGTCTGAACGCAGCTCTCAAGAGTGTTTGTACTGCTATCAGGTTGTTGATGGGTTAAGAGGCGGCCATTTGCAGGCTCTGCCCAACAACCTTGAGACGTCCAACCCGTTGGAAATCCCGTAGGAACTGAGGCAGTCGTAGTAGGTGCAGTAGTAGTTGAAACCGTACTTGTTGGTGGCGGGGGAGTGCCAGCGACGGCATACACTGTCAAACGACCACCAGCCCCGCAGAACTGCAGGCTGTTACCACTACATAGCGTGTTACAATCGCTATCAGCAACTATCACCGACCCAGTAGTGAAGCTGTTTCCGCAATAACCTTTTGGAGATGAGTCAGCCACCAAAAACAAAAAACTCCGGAAGGTTGTCATTGGGTCCACATACACTCTCGCCCGAATTCCGTACCAAAATATGTGAAACCAGCGCAGAACGCCGCGCAGCTCTGTATGGTCATGGAGTCAGAGGCTGTGGCTCGGCCCGTTAATGCCCGGCCAGTACTTCCCTCTGTTCTACAGCTGCTATAGTTATAGTTACCCACAGAAGGTATATTTGAAGGTGGTGGCACCACGACTCCACTCCAGTATAGACTCAAGCGACCACCTCCTCCACAGGTCTGCGTGGTGTTCCCCGCACATGCCATATTACACTGGCTAGCCGGAGCAGACGCCGCGGCTGTGGCAATGGTGTTACCACAAACTGACGATAATCAGAGTCACTCAGGTATTTGATAGCCATCACAAGACTTACAACATTCGCTGGCGAATTCAGTCCCAGCATATGCATAGTTGTTTGAGATACAAAACGCAATACATGTCTCGACTGTCATAGCTCCGGAGGCTGTATTTGCACCTGTCAAAGTTCGTCCGATGTCCCTACATTCTCTTTAGCACAGTACTTTTGGAATCATTGAAGATAGTCCTCAGAACTTACACATAGCATCCTTGTGATGACCATCCTGGCGGGAGAACCACTCTTTTTGCGACTATTCCGGCAAGGATAGTTGGGAGCTATTGATTTAGTAAGCGCTGTGAAGTCAGTGTCTTTAGCGGGCATGAAAAATTCTCACAGCGGTAAGTATCAGAATACTAGGTCCAAGAACTTTCTTCATACTTCGAATCATCATTAACATTAAATCACACTTAGTGTTGAAAGTGTAGGAAGAGAAAAATTAAGGCTCTGAAGAGAATGAAGTGCCTTGAATGACCAAACAGCCAAAGCGAGTGACGACTGTGATGAGTAGAATAGAGAGGGAGACAGCGGAAAATGTACGCAGGATTATATACTTGTATGTCGCCCTATCCTCGTTGAATCAAGTCCGAACAAAAGAAATCTTGTGGAAACCAGGGTCCTTCTTGCATTGCAGGACAGGGCTGGCCATGCCTGGGTGGAGTCTGGAGATCAATGTACCGACGTAGTGGGGCCTGCATGCCATATTGCACAACAACTTCGTATTCCGCGAGCGAAGTAGACAGTCTGTGACAATTCTGCAAGCTGATTGAACACTAGAGATAATCAATGGGACCTCGGCAGCGGCAATATTGGCCCCCTAACAATGGAGGCCCATTTGACTGGCATTCTGAATACCACCCACCATTCTTACCGACTAATGCTGTACTTAGGCGCTGTGTCCAGGTTGTCAGCGGCGGATTGTGTGTCCGAAAAGATTAGGATGAAGCCATAGTGACAAGCCAAGGTCAGGGCGTGACCAGAATGGTGTTTTGTTAGCGTAACTGCAAATCTTTGAACTAAACAGTCGGGAATTTCATCGGTCTTCCTTTTGGCTGGAGAGCACTCCTTAGCTATAGTGCTAAGCGAGGTTCGGTAACAAGGCCTTGTAAGGTACTCGAGCGACCTAACCTAGATGCTTATTATAGACCACAGAGGAGTGTACCGTTGAAGAACATATAGCCGTGCAAAGCAAGATGCGTGAAGAGTTGCACCTTGGATCATAATCCTGGTACGTGAACAGCACGCCACCAATATTTTATCTTCGAACTGCAATACGCGGTCTTGACAGAAGCCATGACTTCGTGTTGCGCCCGCAGGACAGTATCGGCCAAATACAGACTCGACAGCAAACTTTGTGCTACATTGAATGCTGGCTGACAGCGGTGATGACGGCAGACGAAGGATCTTGACGGCTCATATTCGTGGTGACATTGAAATGTCCACTTGAGGTTTTGGCGTCTCGTAGAGTTGAGGGTATGAGCTGATATGTCCTGATTGTCTAAGGGGAAAGGGGTGTAGAAGCGTTATTCAGCGTTCGAAGACAGCTTCCTGATTGGTTTGGCTCAATCTGAATAGCATGGAAGCAAGTGCCATTAGATCCCCGGCTCTGTGAGATTGCGGAGGTGCAACATTGGACGGAGGGCGGTGCGGTTGCTGGCCCGAAGAAGCCTTGTGGCCGTAGGGAATGGTAACTATCGCGAGCTGATTGCGATTGACTGTCGACGTCGTTTATCCTAGCATCAGTACCAATAAACCACACATACGAGTAACTCGTACCATGGACCCCCTGAGAGATTCGAACATGACCTGAACGAAAGGGCGAACAAAAGGGGAAATTACTAGATCGTGGCCGATAGTGTGTGCTGCTGCATTGCAGGAAGACCTGCAGCAGCTGCACGTCGAACGTTTTTGGCTGTGGAGAAGAAAAGGCTTGATCACGTGGTACAATCTGAATTCCTATCTCCGTACATTTCTTTTTCCTTTTTCAACGAGAACTCTCCTTTCCTAGAAGGAACACATTGTCACATACTGAAAGGTGGACGGGACAGATACCTTTACGTCTACCAAAATTTGTTAAACCAGACACGCACGCGGCTTTAGACCGAGGAATCTTTCGATATTCTTGTAATGCAAAGCTTCGGCTCAAGATGCATCAACTCTAATATGCAGATGAACGGGGACTACCGGCAAGACCAACAGAGCAGTCACGTTTTGATCTTATGGCTATCACAGTCCATATGCGTCAGGTGATGCCAAAACTGTATCAGTACCTAAGTGATAGGAGATATCTCAAGACGTTTAATAATCGTTTTGACCCCCGTGAGAAGAAGAGCTTTTCTATTTCGCGTACAGAGGATAGGTACTTCAACGTGACAGTCGCTTTCGCCTGTTATCGGGGGACCGGGGGCACGAGATGGCATCTACGGGCCGAACGTAGACACCGGCCCGGCCCTCGATCAATGCCTCGAACGGTCGTTCCAGGTTTGAGACTCGACAAACAGGATTCGAGAAGTTAAAGCACTCTAACTTCTTACAAGTACAGTTGAAGTACTAAGTGGCGACTACCTACGTGTCCAATCAACCTGATTTATACGCACATCATCTCACTTGTTCAGTCTAGCTGGCTTCTTATGAATCTTGATAAAACATAATAGAAATCAGTCATGACGAACGTCGTCGATTTTTTTGGGACATGCGCTGTCATCAGCGCCCACCAAGCACGGAGTTTCTGCGATTCCGCCGTCGGATTTTATAATCATTAATAGGCAATAAAGAAGAGTTAACACGCATGTCTAGTGATGTGAAATATGGAGAGAGATCATAATTGCACAGTATTATGAGCTCATAGCTAAAGTCCGACGGAAAGTTCGTGTGGATAATCGAGAGTAATCAGAGACGATGCACTCGAGGAGCATGTGAAATGCCATGTCGTCGGAGGACCCTGGGACGTGCACACGTCTCTGTCTCCGCCTCCACCTTTCCAGAGCTGCAAGTTGCCCCACTCCACGACCCCTCAACCTTCCCAGCTCTACATCTTGAATATCTCTACTCCCTTCCTAGACAGTTGCACCACCCTCACTACCACATTTTTGTAACTGCTTCAAAGTAACTTCTCGTCGCAGTTTTCTCCTGGTATCAGCAGAACTTATATCCCCCTCCGTCGGCGACATCTTCGCCCAACTTGATTGCACGAGTCGCACTTACAATCACCGCGAACAAAACAACGCGTATGCCTTCAACAGAAACGAGATAAGCTAGATTATAGCTACGCCCGCTCTATCAACGCCCAAGAGTCTTCTGTGTGGTATGCCAATAAGCGCGGTGGGAATATAGACTCCAAGTAATCGAAATGGCTGCTGGTAATGAGAAGCCCAATGAGGGTGACAAAAGGATTTCTGCCAATTTACTAGCCCAGACGGAGGCTGCAATCGTAGGCAACTTTGAGGATGAGAGACTAAGCAGGACGTCTTCGCGCGCATCTGCGTATCCCCAGGACTCAAGATATCGTCCTGGTCTAACGTAAGTATGGTTCACAACTTTTGTACGCATGTGGTTGACCAAATCTCACTAGGCCAAGAACTTCATATCTTGATCTTCCGAAAGACACAGCCACCGAGGCCCCTCCTGCATATGGAGATCACGCAGATGAGATTGAGATGAGCCAGGACGGGTTGGATACAAAAGCAAAGATTACCGATGATGGCAGAATCAATATAAACATCAATCAAAAAACTCGAAAATTGTCCTCCCTATTGGTCCCCGCCCTACGAAATCAACTTTCGCTTGTAGCACAGGAAAACGAGACGCCATTACCTCCAGGTTACATACCTGAGTCATTGGGAGGCGCTCCCGGTCAAACTCCGCCTCCTCGCTTGAATGTGGTCATACACGTCGTGGGTTCTCGTGGAGATGTGCAACCATTTGTCGCGCTAGGAAAAACATTGAAGGCAACATATGGGCATCGAGTACGGCTAGCGACACATCCGACCTTCCAAGGCTTTGTGGAAGAAAATGGGCTTGAATTCTTTAGCATTGGCGGTGATCCCTCAGAACTCATGGCTTTTATGGTAAAGAATCCTGGATTGATGCCCGGATTCGACTCTTTGAAGGCTGGTGACGTGGGGAAGCGTCGAAGGGGAATGGAGGAAATCGTGTTAGGATGCTGGAGATCATGTGTAGAAGCCGGAAATGGCCTCGGTGCTCCACCATCCAAAGAGAGTACTGAGAGCTTGGGTTTCGATGCGGGCATTAACATGGAAACAGACCCTTCCGATAAGCCATTTATCGCAGACGCTATCATTGCGAATCCTCCTAGTTTTGCACATATCCACATCGCAGAGAAGATGGGTATCCCTCTACACATGATGTTTACGTATGTTGGTCAACATCTCAAAAGGAAACAAAAACACTAACACGATGTTTAGGATGCCTTGGTCTCCAACACAGTCATTTCCACATCCCCTCGCTAATATTCAATCATCCAACGCAGACGTGAACATGACAAACTTTGTTTCCTATGCACTGGTCGAATTAATGACCTGGCAAGGCCTTGGAGATGTCATTAACAGATTTCGTGAGCGAGCTCTCGGACTAGAGCCGATTAGTCTGATCTGGGCTCCGGGTATGCTAAGTCGTCTCAAGGTGCCTTATACATATTGTTGGTTCGTGTAACACTTTGGGCAGGGATGTATGCAGTCACTGACTCAATGACAGGTCTCCGGCTCTGATACCTAAGCCCAATGATTGGGGCCGACATATCTCCATATCAGGGTTCTACTTCCTGTCGCTGGCCTCGTCTTTCACACCCGAGCCTGCACTCGCAGAATTCCTCGCGGCTGGACCACCACCTGTGTATATCGGATTCGGCTCCATCGTGGTAGACGATCCTAACGCAATGACTACACTCATCTTTGAAGCAGTAAAGAAGACTGGGTGCAGGGCTCTTGTCTCCAAAGGGTGGGGTGGTCTTGGAGCTGACGAAATGGGAGTTCCGGAAGGCGTTTTCATGTTGGGCAACGTACCACACGATTGGCTTTTCCAGCACGTGTCAGCTGTAGTGCACCACGGAGGTGCAGGGACTACTGCGGCCGGTATTGCCACTGGCAAACCTACAGTGGTGGTACCTTTTTTCGGCGATCAGCCATTTTGGGGAGCGATGGTTGCGAGAGCTGGAGCTGGACCTCTGCCAATTCCATACAAGCAGCTCACCGCTGATAAGCTATCCGAAGCTCTTATTGAGGCTCTTAAGCCCGAAACACTGGCCAAGGCAAAGGAGCTTGGAGCTCGCATCAAGGAAGAGCAGGGTACAGATGTTGGTGCGAAAAGCTTCCATGACAATCTTGATATTGATAGCATGAGATGCTCTCTTGCGCCTACTAGGGTCGCAGTCTGGAGGCTCAAGCGCACACAAACTCGTCTGAGTGCTCTAGCTGCAAACATTCTTGCTAGTGAAGGGTTACTTGACTTCGCTGACCTCAAACTGTAAGTCACCTCTGCAACTTAAAATAGTCCATACTGAATTTGCTCAGATACCGTACACGAGAATACGAGACCGATGACGGTCCATGGGATCCTATCACTGGTGGCGCCACAGCACTTCTTGGAACAATTGCTAGTCTCTCAATGGGCGTAGCTGATTTCCCAATTGAAATATTCAAGCGGGCTAAGACAGCAAACAGCTGTAAAAGAACTATCCCTAAAGCAAGCCCCCAATTTACTGACTCTAAACCCCTAGCAAAACCCCAAGCAACTTCTCAGAACTCATCTCAGGCTGATCTTCAGGATACGAATGAAAATACGGGCGAAACAACTCCAACGTCGCTAATGAGTGCCCCAGGATCGCCTAGACCTTCTAGATCAGCGACTGCGGCCCCTTCGTCTAAGACTTCCTGGGAGAGCACTACTACACACAGATCATCTACCGACATAGGTTCAATGGAAAGTACCCAAACGAGTCTTGCATCAGGCAGCGCTCGTGGTGGGTCATTAAAAGAAGCATTAAGGGGGTCGCTAAACAGGGCTAGATCGCTTTCTAGAGATCGATCTAAAACGCGCGCCGAATCAGGTAATGTACCTCACAAGAGCGGGACAGAATCTCCCTTTTCGAAGCTACGCAAGGAATCAGAACCTGCCATCTTCGACCCTAGCAAAATGACTTTGGAAAACGCTGGTCGTGCTAGCAAAGGAATTTCTAGAATTGTTGGAGCTGGCTTAAAGTCACCTATGGACTTTACATTGGGCTTAGCGCGTGGTTTCCATAACGCTCCCAAGCTTTATGGTGATGATACGGTTCGCCCACAGGAAAAGGTGACGGATTTTCAGAGCGGCTTAAAAGCTGCAGGAAAAGTAAGTGGGACGAATCTTGCATTCATAGCATTCACTAATGGGTAATAGGAGTTTGGCTTTGGCTTTTATGATGGCATCACTGGACTGGTTACCCAACCGTTACGAGGTGCAGAAAAGGAGGGTGCAGCAGGTTTAATCAAGGGCATAGGAAAGGGTATTGGAGGACTCATTTTGAAGCCTGGTGCAGGTAATTATTTCATCATAGGTCTTATGCTTTTACTAACCCTTTGTGCCAGCTATTTTCGGTCTTCCCGGCCATGCTTTCATGGGAGTGCATAAAGAGATTAGGAAGATGTTTGGTTCAAGTGTCCTTAATTACATTATAGCAGCACGCACAGCCCGAGGGTTTGAGGAAGCACAAGCATGCAGCCCCGAGGAGCGTGCTGCCATTATCCGCCAGTGGAAAGCCCATAAGGACGAGTACCAAAGCACGAAAATGAAGATCGTCGAGCAGGGAGGACCTGAGCTCAATGAGCATGGCTACCTCTCACCTAAAGGCTTCATGCAAACCCGTCACCTTCCATTTGAGGAAAGAAAGAGGCTTCACAAGGAACGGCAGACTAAGCGTCGAGAAACAGCCCAGAAAGAAGCTGCCGAGGGTAATGGACACAAGCATTGTCCCTTTTGTCGTCGCGATCAACCGCATCGTCATACTCCTCGAGAGACCCAAGATAAGCCTGTTGTGCCCCATGCTTTGGAAGGCAATATTCAGGATGAATTTGAGCATGCAATTCATACTTCGGTGGCGGCCACTTCTCGAGGAGACCCAGAGGAGGATGAGATGATTGAACGCGCAATTCGTGCCTCTGTGCGAGAACTTCAGGCGGCTCAAGACAGCAAACTTAGTAATCAAGAAGCCCTCGAGCGGGCTATTCAAGCCTCGATTGGAGAGGCCGGTCATCGTCCATCCACAAGCTCCACGGAGTATACGGAGAAAGATGCTGAACACGAAAGAGCCCTGGAGTATGCTATCCAACAGAGCTTACTACGTTATCACGTTACCGAACCCGATGAAAACGAGGACGAGGATGAGGCTGTTAAACTTGCAATGATCAAGAGTCTCGAAGGTGGCTCTGATGTACCAGATCCAGAAGAGATCGACCACGCACTGCTCGAAGCCATCGAACAATCCAAGGCCAACGCGCTCAAAGAAAATGAAGATGACAAGATACTGCTGGAGCAAGTAATTAAACAAAGTCTCCTGGATGATTCTAAAGACAAAGCATACACAAGTAGGCCTAGTACGGCTGGGGAGAGTAGTAGTGCTCCGCATGATGGTGCCAGAACCGCTGGCACAGGTGGAGAAACCCCAAGAGGGCGACAGGGCCCACACGATCCGCCGCCTAATACAGCAGTAGAAGGAGACAGTGCGGCAGATGAGGAGGCATTGCGGTTGGCGATACAAGAAAGTCTGAAGAGGTAGTTGTTTCAAGGTTATTTGTTGACCACAATATACGCAAGGAGTTAGAATTGCAGGTTGATAGAGCGGATCGTGGACGGCGCAGATAGGCCAATTGTTCATTTTGGAACTACATACCCATTCATGTCAGTATATACGACAGTAGGCAGGATTTCGCGGTCGTGTTGAATTTACAACGAACACATATCTCGCTATAAGAAGATTTCAATATGTCGAGTTCCTGGGATTTCTTTGAATCCTCACTCACAGTGCCTCTTAGAAACGTAGATAGAGATGACCTGATCCACAAAATGCGTTGAAATGTTTGAATTCATGCTTTAAACCATCGAGTCTAAGTAACAACCATCTTGTGTTGTGCCCCGTGATCATTATTGCAATTATCTCGTAATACGTTCCCTAGGAAACTATTCCCACAAGTCACACTGAGTTGTTCTGTCTTTATTGGCTGATCAGATCAAGCATTGAAGTCACTTATTTTCGTTGTTGGGCCTAGTGCTCCAAATTGACTAATGAGGGGAAAGAAGCAGGTGGTACTCTGTTGTCACCTGCAAGAGAAGCTTTTCCAATGGGTGTCAAGCGGTTGATAGACCGAGGTACCAGGAACGACGACATGTGTTATTTGGATTCTGATTGATCTTCTGTTGCTGGCTGTTTTTGTTTTGATTCGTAAAGCTGTCGATGTCGCTTTTCGCTTATACTAAAGAAATCAATTAAACGGGGCCCCCATCATGCTTTCCCTCTGGAAAGACTCAGCTCATTAGTGACCAAAAGAAACGCAGTATAAAAATCTATAATGAGAATCATGAGCGTGAAACTGTCTTCGAGAGTTTCCAACCTCGGCAAATAGTTAATTTGAATAATATCCGGCATTTAGCAATTGGTCCAAAAAATCATGGACATTAACAAAACGGTCGTTGAGCGGGAGCTAGCAACCATGCAGGTGCAAGTGACCAAATCTAGCCATAAACAAGCACATCCCCTCATCGTTTACTAAACGATCCTCCCACCCCTAATCAACTTAGATGCGATGGGCCATTCCCGTCAACCCCACGATTTACCCCTCCAACGATCGGACGCAAGTGGATCCCGCACCCTTCGGCATCGATCCCCATCCAGAAAGCCGTGAGTTAAATTCCCTATATCTGCGCGGACTATAGTGCTTTAGCAAAGTCACATCTACGTTTTTCTCTCCGCTCCAAGCCGGAATGCTGGTTGCGTCGCGGCCTATTGCTGAGGACATGTGGTGTCGCTTAGACGGGGGGCATGGTTGTTTTGGGACGACCTTCCATGGTGGGGTAGTACGACTTAGGAGGACAAGATATCTGTGAGTGAGGGTTAAGTGTGTATTGGTGCGTTTGTAATTGTTTGGATGTGAGGAGGGTTCTTTTGGCAAGTTGGGTTTGGGGAGATTCTTGGATAGTGTGTGCTGAGCGAGCGGGGTTGGTGTGATGGTATGGTGTAGGTGAGAGAGTGAGTATGGGTTGTGTATAAGTACCTGGAATCATCGAGATGGATTTGATTGAGTAGAGACATTTCCAGTCTTCATTCTCCCTTTCTCACTCCCTCCTCTGCAATCCCCTCCCTCCTCTCAATCCCTTCACCCCCTCCCACCTCCTCCACAAACACCATGAAGCTCACACTCCTCATCCTCCTCCCCCTCGCAACCGCCTTCCCCCTCTCCCTCTTCAAACGCGCCGACCTAACCCTCACAACGCAAAACGACCTCCTAAACGGTACGCCCTGCAAACCTCTCACCGTAATCTTCGCCCGCGGCACCACCTCCCCCGGAAACGTAGGCGAATCCACTGGTCCCCCCTTCTTCCAAGAGATCGCAAAGCTAGTCGGGGCCGCGAATCTGGCGGTCCAGGGCGTTACGTATCCGGCTAGCATCTTTGGGTTTTTGGGCGGTGGTGATACGGCGGGGAGTAAGACGCTGGCGGGGTTGGTTAATCAGGCGTTTACGCAGTGTCCGAGTACGAAGGTGGTGGTTAGTGGGTATAGGTATGTTGTGTTGTGAGGTGTGTTGGGGGTGAGCTAATTTGAGGTGTGTAGTCAGGGGGGACAGCTTGTGCATAATGCTGCGAGGCAGTTGAGTGCTGCGGTTTCTGCTAAGGTGTCTTCTGGTAGGTTTTCCAAAACCCAAGCTATTCTGGGGGTGAACTAACGATACGAAGTCGTTATCTTCGGAGATCCAAACTACGGGTCTGCTGTTGGTACCATACCAGCTTCGAAAGTGAAGGTATTTTGTCACACCGGTGATAATATTTGTGAGGGTGGTATCACTGTCACTTCGGCACATCTAAATGTAAGTATGGTTTTATTTAGTAGTGGCATGATTTAAATGAAAAGAGACTGATCTTGTGAAATAGTACAAAAATGATGCACCAGCGGCGGCCAAGTTTGTGGCTAGCTTAGCGGGGTATTGAAGGAGTTTGGGGATTGAGGGAGGGAACGATAGCTTGATGTTGCGTGGATGTTGTTAAAATCCCTAAAATCAATGTGGAAATTCGAGGTCACACCACCTACCAAACGCTTGCTATCTTGTGTTCAAGGCTGTGATGAGAGAAAAGTTATATTGCGAGCTACAGCAATTTCTGTGTCTAGTGTTCTAACGGTAAATGAAATTTGGGTGTAGGAAATCTGGTATATGATGTTACTAGTGTTACAAAGTATTGGTGGAGCTAAAAGTCTGTTTCCAACCAATAACGCGTATTGAAAACTCGTTATTCTTTCAGGGTAGTGCCGCAGTAGACGAGGAGCTCGTCGTAGTGCTATCAGTGGTTGAGCTTTCTGTGCTGCTTGTCGCGGTGGTTGTGGTTGTAATTGTGATCGGAGCTGTTGTACTAGAGAACGGATACTTGTTGCTCAAACAACTGCATGCGGACCTGAGTTGCGTGGCAATATCACCTTCGCTGCATAGTGTTGTGTCGGGATATGTCTGAGTGATGTTGCTTGCAAACGATGAGCAAAATTCTCGTCCTCGAGGATCGTTTGCAGGATCGAAAGCGCGGAGGCAGTTGTTTGCGTTACAGCCGGGTCCGTATTCGAGCGCTGGGAAACTGGTCACCGTTGATGTGAAGAGGGTTGTTTGGTTTCCGAATGTCGATAAAGTTGTGAGAGAGACTCCACCAGTCAGAGTGGTCGAAGTGCTGAATATAGTACTAGATGTATTGGTGAATGGTGGGCCAGTTGTGGTACTGAATGTGGATGTGGTATCCGTAAAAGTAGTCGTGTTAAGAGGAGCGGACGTAGTAATGGAGGAGGTGTCAGAGGATTCGGCTAAGGAGGTACTTGACAAACTCGTAGTGGACGTTTCCGTAGATGATATAGAGGAAGTAGTAGACAGCTCGGAAGAGTTTGTTAATGAGGTGCTTGAGAGAGTCGTAGTTGAAGTTTCTGTAAACGATGTGGTAGATATAGTGGATGTAGTAGTGGATGTTTCTGATGAAATGGTTGCTGATGCACTTGAGGAGCTTGAGGTTGATGTTTCTGTAGAGGATGTAGTCAACGCAGTGGATGTCTCCGATGAGTTCGCTAGTGATGTGCTTGACAGGCTCGTGGTCGACGGATCCGCTGAGGATGTAGTTGATATAGTAGTAGAGGTTTCGGATGAATTTGTCAAGGAGGTGCTTGAGACGCTTGTTGTTGGTGCTTCTGTAGTAGATGTATTTGAGAAAAACGTGAAGGATATCGGAGTCCCGGTTGTGATACTGGAAGTAGTTGAGTTGCTGCCCTCAGTAGAAGTAGTAGTAGTTGCTGTTGCATCAATGCCTGAATTCGAAGTCACTAAGCTAGTAGGAAAGGAACTCGTCGTATTGCTAGTTGCAGTGGCATTGGGAAATCCTGTTGAACTGCTCGATGTAGTATCTAGCGTGAACGTCGTAGAGGAAGAAGTCGTAGTAAGAGTAGTTGTAGAGGAATTGAAGAATCCAGAGGTTGTACTGCTCGTTGTGGTATCCAATGTGAACGACGTTAAATATGAGCTACTAGATAAACTAGAAGATAGGCTAGAACTAAGACTCGTCGATATACTTGAAGAGAGGCTACTGGATAAACTGCTTGATATACTGGAAAAGCAACTTGCGGGGCAAGGTGATGTTGCGGAAGACTGAGATGTCGTGGGGTCTGCGCTCGATGAAGCTGTGGTACTTGTAACTGGACCAGAAGTAGATTGTGCTCCTCCGGACGTAACGCTGTAAGCACAAGAGCAAACGGAAGAGATGTCTGCTACACTTCTGCACATTTCTGTGGCATAGGCAGGGAAGTCATTGGTAGTTGTTGTGACAGCCGTTGTAAATTTTGAACAGAAAGATGCAGCTTCTGGCTTAACGCGATCGCCATTGAAAGCACGGTAACAACTAGCAAAATGTCAGATAGAACTCAAATTTGTGTCAGAGAAGCCTACGTACTTATCCTGGTGGCAGTTGTTATCGCCTGTAGCTCGAACACCTAAAGCCCATGAGCTCAAGAGTACAATGTAAGTGGTCAGCATTTTGAACTTGTAGTGTAAATAATGATCAGCACGTAGACAACAGAATCGAATGGCTTGTTATTTGATTTAATCATTCATAGGCAATGGTGATTAGTATATATACTCAGCTACATGTGTACTTACCGTTGACTGGCAGTTTTTGGGAGAATGTAGCTGACACGAACATTTTCTTGGATGTCTTAAATGTGACGACATTCGCACAACGGAAAGTCCTCGCGGGAAGAATTCGATCCCTAAGATATTCCAATTCTGCCGAGCTTTTGAATATCGATATCATATGTGGAATGGAACGCGGTGTTGAACCAGGGCGGAGCCAATGTTCGAGAACAAAAATGTGATTCAATTGGGCGCACTACTTACCATCGTCTTGATGAGAGAGTAGAGTATATGCTTTTAGCCATTACCATTGCCTTTTGAAATGCGCATTCTTCATCATATACTTGGCTTCACGTCTAGAATGGAACAGTTTGAGGGTCTGGGTCTTGACGCGTCGGTACTGAAGGCGATTTCCACTCGAATCGAGCATACTTGAAAAAACAATATCAACGACGGGAAGCGTTTAACATGGCACAGTTCGCTAGATGAGGGTTCAAATTGTTGTGATGTAAAACCTTGGGAGCTGATAAGTTGTACACTTGATGCCTAAGGCCACCATTCTCTTGAAGCCTAAGGCCGAATACCAGCACGTATACGCGCAACGCGACTTCCAGCTTCCGTTTGTAAACGGCTTCTGACAAGTCCATCTCATTCACCACCAGATTCAGCCATCATGGAGTGTTCCTCAAAATTAGTATCATCTCTGTTTTCTCTTTCAGACTGCTCTCATCGTGCCAAAGCCCTTTGTATACGGAATTTGTTGGCTGAAAACCTGGCTTGCTGTCTTTGTCCCATCGCACTATCTGTTCAAAGGTGACCAGCCACTTTCCCATTCACAGACTCCGGAATAGCTGTCTTTCATTCACTGTTCGCAGGGCAAAACAGCAAGAAGGTTCTAGATTTAGTCTGCTTCAACGCTTCCTGAAAATCTGCCTTCTTGTTCTCCCACCATCAAAATTTCTCTTTTCACCCAACGCTATCACTTTCTGCACCGACAGATCTGCATTAGATTTTCTTTTTCCATATTCCGTTGCAGACGCCGAAGAACTTTCGCTGCTCGTACGCATAAGTTACCTCTCCCAAATGGCGTCTCCATCTGAAGCCCCGATCGCTGAGGGTGTAGATCAATCAATCCCGGACCATGAAACGAACGCCGTGACGACCGCTACGTCGCCCAGCCAAGAGAAGGCAAGTGGCGATCAACAGATTGCCCCAGTATCTGAGCCAGTTGTGTCGCTGTCGCCTTGTGAGGAGGACGATGACGACTTTCCCAGCAACTGTCTTGACGACGAGGAGTGGTCCGACCAGGAGCCGTTCGAATCACTTCGAGAGAAAGTCAACCAACTTTGCCAGGACATCGGATTCGGTGAGCCAAGTGAGATTCTGGAGATGGGCGGCGGAGACTTCCACAGAATTGTTGGATTGCGATTTTCCTCGAGAACACCCCAACGGTATATTCTAAGAATCCCACGTTGGGCTTACTCTGAGGACTTACAACACGAGACTTCCGACCAAGTAGCCATCCTCAGCTTCTTCTCGCGAAAGTTCAAAGACGTTCCTGTGCCGTCAGTTTATGCCTATGACTCGACAACAAACAACGCCATAGAAAGTCAGTATGTGTTGCAAGAACGCCTTCCTGGGAAGCCACTATACAATGTATTCTATGAGTTGCCCATCGAGGAAAAACTTCAAATCACCACTTTGATTGCGGAACTAATATCAAAATTTGATGCTACCGATCTCCCAAATCCAGGCCGTATAGTGGGCGACCGGTCACTGCCTCAGACCTTGCATACGCCTCCACCTACAAACACGGATATCAACATCACAGGATACCGAGAGTCACCTGTTGCCGATCTGAGGTTTGTAGAGAAGTGCGATCTTACGCATCTTCTTACACAACTCTCACAACAACGTGAAAAGGAAGATGGAGGGTGTGAGTGGTCAAAGAAGATGTGGACGCGGTTCAATGAGATCGCTCAACAGATGAAACATGCTAGCCTGACCCGCAAACTCGACACCAACAGCGTATTGTGGGTATGGGATATATCCCCTTCAAATATGTTGATCAGTCGACGGACTCCTAGGGAAGACAAACTGCCATCCGATGCCACTACTCAACATCATTCTACTACAGTCACATTCGGTAATTCCGATAACGACTGCCACAAACATGCTTTTCAAGTTACAGTCGATGGCCCAGAAGGAATGGTATGCGATTACACAACACAAGTGGTGTTTGAAGAATTTGGCGGTAAAACTTACAGCCACAAATTGAGAATATCAGACTCAAAGCAGCTGGATGCCCCAATTTTGGAACCCCAAGACTCCTTGGTCACTGACCCAGAACTACTGGGTTCTACATTCAAGCACGCTGATTCTCTGCCGAGGTGGGAGATGTCTGGAGTGATAGATCTCGACGACGCCAAATCTGCTCCGCGAGTCTTGACGAGAAAACCACCAAGCTGGCTCTGGATCCACCCGGACACTCGACACTCCACTTGGATGGGAGATCACGATGACAAGCCTGAGCGACCATTCACACATGATGAGCTATTGATTAAAGCACATTTTGATCAGACCATGGCTCAACTATGTCCATCTTACCTCGAGGATGCTTATCACAGGGGCTATTGGCTGCGTCGTCTGTCAAGATTTGCCGTTCTTGGTCTCGAAAGCGCTGAATGCATAAACCGTTTCTGGACGCTCTCCGAAGAGTGGGATCAATACTATCAGGCGTTGGAGTTGGATGATGTTGATGTCAAGATGACCGATGCTATGGATGAGGGTTCTGGTGAGAATTCTGAAGAAAACTTATCCAAGTAAGAACCTGCTAGTGGTATGAAAGATCAAATATCACCAGAAGGTCTGCTATCATCTGTAAACCAATCGTAAATTTTTACCTCGGCTCATAGCGCCTCTTGATGTTTTAGCAAGCTTAACATAATAAAATCATTGATTCATCAAACCATAAATTCCCATCTAGAAAGCATGCAACTTTATCCTTCTGACATAATCTAACTAACCAAAGCGTAGTATAGAGTAAGGAGTATAAAGGAATTGTGATGTCCCATGTATTGATGAAATTAATGACAAGCTAAAAAGGGGTTTCAAGAGGAGACCAAGTAGAACTGTCTGCACTATAGCGTCAATTCGTCTTTCATTCCTGGCAAAGGCAATCTTCTGAGGTTTCCGCTTCTGGTTAACAGTGAATGGTGGCGATATCATGGTGGAGGGAACCTTTGTCCTTTAGATTTTCAAATTCTGAATAACACCATTGAGATTTGAACTCTTTCTATGATCTTGTCTTGTAGTACTTTACACTAATTCACTTAACGGGAATTATTTTATGTTGTAAGTCTATCATGATGATTCCCCATTTTCGGCCATTTATTAGCACGTCGAATATGAATATTTCCTAAAAGTAAGTTCAGATTAGAAGCACAAAGAGTATCTATCTGTATCGTCAATAAAGCCACCCCTGTGGCCATAAAGTGAAAGTAGAACTGTAACAGCCTCGTAGGGCTTTGTTAGAAATGGTCTCCTGTTGTGCTTCTCCTTTGTACAAAGAGAAGAAATATATTTACTTTTCAAAGCAATATTCATTCACTGTTCTATGTCCCAGCCCTTTGAATAACCGGAATACGTACTTTGAATTCTACAAATACCAAGCTCTCTGTCTTTCAACCTTTTACCAGAGTATCAGTCACCCGTACCCTTCCCTTCAAATCATTTGATCTCATCTATCTCGACAACCTAAGTCAAAACACTCTCTCAACACCCTCCTTCAATTAATCTCACACTACCACCAAAATGGGAAAGGGAGCAAAGTCCACCGTCCATCACTGTCCCATGAAAAGCAAGGGCGGATGCCGTCCAGCACTGGGCGGTCCTAAGAACCGACGCTACTGCAGCACACACCAAACATTCTGCGCTACCCCATCTTGCAAACACATCTTCCCATTCCTCAAGACCACCGACGTCTGCAACAGCTGCGGCTCCTTCCACGAAGACAACATCAAGGCACAGAAGGAAAAGGAAGCCGAAGAAAAGTACGCCAACAGCAAGAAGAAGTAAATGTTGTGAGTTGTGGCGTTTTGGGTGGTGGGAGTTTTTGGTACTTTTGCCATATTGAAAGCCACCTCTTGGACTTTACAATAGTGAATGTTGCGGTGAGGTGTCTATCGCTTGGATAATGCTTTTTGGGGCTTCTTTTCAGCTCTCGCTATTGAGTGGAGTAGTTGACTTTTTGGATACCCAGCCGATAAAGCACTTTCAGAGTGATGAATGCAAACAGTTGCAACTATGAACCCCCCGTTTTAGCTTTGCCTAAGTGAATGTAACTGAAATAGAAATTTGATGCAAAACGTCAAGATATCAAGTCATAAATGAGTGTGCTTGTGAATAGGGGGCCTGATTAATTAAGCGAGAAATGTGTTTCGTCATCTTCCTGCAATTGTGTTAAGACAGCTGCCTTAGCGATTTATTAGTGAGAATAGATACACATATGATATAGATACTATGATCTAAAAGACCCCTTCCTTTCCCATTTTGCTTGTGAAGTACCTGTTCACCTCCTTTTTTTTCTTTTTTTAATACATTACTTTCATACTTTTATATTTATCTATAACTACACTCATTTTTTTCATGACTAGTTTTATGGCTTATTAATATGTAAATGCGTTCTTAGCTTAAATTACAAAAATTAGAGATTGGTTAGAAAACGATAGTTATTAATGACATTTTGTACAAAAACTCGGTCGGAAAGCAGTAGAGACTTTCACAAAAGTCGCGCCTGTCTTTAACCTCGAGCATCTCTATTGATTATAATAAATCTTGATAGCCGCGCGTAAATCTGAGCATTTTCTTTAACCGATTGCTTTCACGGTGAGGAACAGTCTTAGGTCGTGCTTTAGCCTATACGAAACACTTTACTTAAGTTTTAAATCACATTATAATACCTTAGTTTATGTCACTAGTTAACTAGATTGATTTCCACTCACGTACTTGCTCCGCTACACTTAACAAGTAACAACATAACATAAGTCTTATGGATAAGAAACTAAGTATCTCCTTAATTGACTACTACTTAGTTTTAGGAAACTGGACAATATAACTAAGCTTTGAAGTACAAATTGGAACCCATTAAGTACTACTTGAGGTTTCATGGTTGTGAGTAGGTCTCTATGTACACAGCTTTTGCCAGATATCTATGGAGAAAGTAAGAATATTTGAGGTGAACTGCGGAGGAAGAGTCTGCGACTGTTTTCACGATTCGCTTTGAAATCATATTGGAGAGAATCCAACCCTTTTTGAATACAAACAACATTCTTTTCTTTGAAAAAAAAAACATAATCAACATACTAGCGATTTCTTAATTTGCTGGAGGAGAAACTGCATTTAGAACATTGTATGGACGTAGAGGCAGTCAAGGGTCCCGGGCTCATCCAATGAGCTCGCTGCCGAGGCTGATGACAGACGGTAGCCCCACAATTCTATGAAAGCCAGATCGTCGAGCGTTTGCGCCGTCATCCAGACCACGATGTCTCAAGCCTGACTAGACAAAGAAAGTTATCCTGCGATTCATTCGTCTTTTTTTACAACTTGTTTCTACGTTGCGACGTATTTGACAGACGACTTGCTACCGGACCCCACGTTCCAAGTTCACATGCCTTCTTCGAGATCCACACATTGGTGATGCCATTGCGATGGCCGGAATTTTGGCTGGGCGCATGCAGCTATTCAGGACCATACCTTAGGGGGAAATGGATTCTGTTTGTGGCCGTGACGATATGGGCGGGTGTAGTCTCGGCGATGAAGCCTGCTCGGATTGCAGAGCTGCGACAGGAAACTGTGGACATGTTTTATCATGGCTTTGATAATTACATGTCCGTAGCATTTCCTGAAGATGAGGTTCGTAACTACCAGTCCATATACCGTATGTCTTCTGACATGTATTTAGCTACGGCCAGTGTCCTGCGTACCTCTCACTCGCGATGCACGAAACCCTCGGAACGTGGAACTTAACGATGTGCTGGGAAACTATTCCTTAACCCTGATTGACAGTCTTTCAACACTTGCGATACTGGCTTCCGCGCCCCCAGATGAGAATCAAAGAGGTGCAAAAGCACTCCGCGACTTCCAAGATGGAGTGGTTGCGTTAGTTGAGCAGTACGGGGACGGCAGGGCAGGTTCCTCCGGCAAAGGCTTGCGTGGTCGGGGGTTCGATGTGGATAGTAAAGTGCAGGTTTTCGAGACCGTCATTCGAGGTGTTGGCGGGCTTCTGAGTGCTCATCTATTCGCGATTGGCGAACTACCTATTGACGGCTATACCCCAAAGCTGGCGAGAACGTTTAAGAAGAAGAAGCTTCAGAAGGGTGAAGTACCAGCAATCTCGTGGCCTGGGGGCTTCCGTTACGATGGACAACTTCTGCGCCTTGCGCTGGATCTTGCACAACGTCTTCTTCCGGCGTTCTACACAACTACAGGGATGCCATATCCGCGAGTCAATCTTCGGTACGGAATTCCATTCTACCTAAACTCCCCCCTTAATCGGGGCTCGGGTTCAGACACTGAAGAATTTACCATGGATGAAAATCCAGAAATCACGGAGACCTGCAGTGCCGGAGCTGGAAGTCTGGTTCTGGAATTCACGGTTCTGAG